CACCTTTTTTTTTTCTTAAGGCAGTATAATTTAGATTTATATTATCCAGTTACAGCTGAACCACATTAGCATAAGAGTCATTGCCCTGGCATTGTTATGTGTGAGATTGTTGCAAGTATGTCTCTTTAGATTTTAGATTGAATTTGAGCCTAGTTTTTCACCTAACAAGCACCTTAGGCTGACACCTAGTCAACAGTCAGATAGCTGGGACTGTTTCTGAAACAAACACGTGTTCAGGCAGCTGCAAGACAGGTCCCAAAGGTGACCGTGGGCCAAGGGTAAGTGTGCTGCAGGCGAGGAGCCCACTGGAGATTGTTAACTTACATTTAGGAGAATTCTAAGTGTCACTGTCCCAGGCTGAGAGACAGGCGATCTTCCTCCTTCACTCCCAGAAAAGGGGTGGAGTTAACACCACAAACCAAAGAGGAAAAGTCTAGTCTGCCTCTCTCTTCTTTCAAAGAAGCTACAGCCAGAGGGGAGGAGAATGAGGCTTAACCTTTTAGGCCTTATTCAAGCACAACAGAAGCTTGGTTTTGTAACCTGCTGATGGATTTTAGGTTATGAAAAAAATGTCAACTTTATACCATGTTTATTATTTGACAGTTTCATGGATCCAACTAGAAGTCCCAAGGTCAGAGACTCAGCTGAGCCGAGATAGTTGCTTTAACATTTTAGAGTGAATTTTATTTAATTCACACTCAGTAAACTCTTTGTGCTAGAGGAAAGGGAGGAGGGGAAGGAGAAACCACAAGAACTGGACTCCGTTCCCTTATAACCCCCAGTCTGAATGCAGGCTGTGTGCTCAGCTCTCAGCCCTTTGATATGCCTGGGTGTATTTTTTCCCATTAAACCATGTATTTTTGTTTACATGTTTCCCAGTAAACCATGTACCCTTGTTCTCTGTCTTACATCAGAACTCTTTTTTTGCACAGAGGCAGTAACCTATTTTACCTGTCCTGCCAGGTGTTATTTTTTCATTTACCACTGTTTTCTTATATCAAAACTCTTTTTTTGCACGGAGACAAGAACCTGTTTCACCACCCCTGCGAACAGTGCCATGTCGCCAAAGCTCTTTGGGGTCGGGCTTCCAGCTCTGAAAGACCAACCTGACCCCATGCAGGAGGCCGTGACAGTCACTGAAGAGAGTATCTGTGAAAACTCAGCACCGGGACAGATGGGTACGAGCTTCCAGCTCTGAAAGACCAACCTGACCCCATGCAGGAGGCCGTGACAGTCACTGAAGAGAGTATCTGTGAAAACTCAGCACCGGGACAGATGGGAACCCCAAAGAAGCCCCAAGAGCAGGGAGGACTCCACCTCCCCCAGCTTCCTGCGTCTGCCCTCCCACCTGTGGATACGCACCACACCCCAGATGTCAGGACACTCACTGGAAGCGGCTGATAGAAGTTTTCTTTACAGATCCCATGAATGCACAGAGCCAGCTTTGCTCATGCCCTGCCCCTTGCAGGGCCCTGTCCCCAGTGTGGCCCTCAAGCCACCCAGAATCTGCCTGGCTCCTTGCCAAGCTCTGCTCTGCTGGTCATAGCTGGGAGCCCTGGGGCCACCAGCCTATGCCCAGTACCTGAGTGTTAGGGTTTTGTCTCGGCGCTCCGGCATCTTACAAGATTACTAGGGCAACTCTGGGAGGTTGATCAGGCTCCCCTGCTGCCATCCGTGGCAGGTCCTCCAAACCAGGACAGATGCCTCCCTTTTTCTTCTTCTGACCTTGGGAAGGCCTCTACCACAGCTTCAGTTATGTCAGTTAGAAACAAGTCTAATCAAAAGACAGAGACCTCCACCACAATATAGCAGTCTAGCTTTCATTTGATTAACATTTGCATGGTTTATACTTTCCAGTACTGTACTTTCAACATGCCTGAGTTGTTGTATTGGGATTCAGTTTCTTACAGACAGCAGGTAGGTCAATCAACGTTTTTAAGTCCACTTTGCCAATCTTTTTATTTTAATTGATGTATTAAGACAATTTACATTTCTTACAACTATTGAAATGTTGGGCTCAAGTCTGCCGTTTTATTTTTTGTTTTCTATTTTTTCTGAGTTGTGGTTTTCTTTTTTTCTTTTGTTTTATTTTAATATCTGGGTTTTCCACCCACCTTCCTGTGTATTGCTTGAACTTCTTTCGGAATTCCGTTTTGATTTGTCTGTGTGCGTGAGTGCACTGTGGTGTGCTCTCCCAGTGGCTTGCTCCAGCATTGCATGCACGTAACTTGTCCTGGGGCCATCACTGGACTCATCCAAGGAATTACGTAAACCTCTTCTTCTTCACAGCTCTCTGCCCTTCCGTTTTACGACAAAACACCTTAAACCTCTCCTGTATGGCCATTTATGGCCAGAATAGGTAGTGGTTTTTGTTTTTGTTTTGCTTCAATTATTTTATTTTATTTTATTTTATTTTATTTTATTTTATTTTATTTTATTTTATTTTATTTTATTTTATTTTATTTGAAAGAGTTACATAGAGAGGTAGAGGCAGGGAGAGAGAGAGAGGTCTTCCATCTGCCAGTTCCCTCCCCAAATGATTGCAATGGCTGGAGCTGAGCTGATCCGAAGCTGGGAGCCAGGAACTTCTTCCAGGTCTCACATGTGGGTGCAGGGGCCCACATACTTGGGCCGTCCTCCACTGCTTTCCCAGGCCATAGCAGGGAGCTGGATTGGAAGTGGAGCAGCGGGAACTTGAACCAGCACCCATATAGGATGCTGGCAGTGCAGGCGGGGGCTTCACCTGCTGTGCCACATATATGACCCTTGTTAAAATTATCAAACAAAATTTAGAAAACCCAAAAGGGGAAAGAATGTCTATTTACCCTTTTTCTTTTCTTTCTCTTTTTCTCTTTCTCTTTCCATTGTTTTTTCTTCCTTTCCTTGGTCAGTGATTCTTTTTTGTTTCTCAGCCAGAATGACCTGGGTGCTGAAAAGGTGGGGTTGTAGGGGAGGGGGTGCTGGGGGAGGCGCCAAGCCTGCAGCAGTGGCCTCTCCCCTTTTTCCCAGGAGGGCAGGCAGGTTCTGAGGCAGGTTGGTAGCAGTGGTGGCCACCTGGTCTGCAGGCCCCTGTTGCATGTACGTCTATGTGAAGGTGTGCTCTGGAAACACAAGCTTCAGGTAGAGGTGTGATTTTGAATGTCAGTTTCAGGCTATGTCCCAGATCTTGTTGGCCAGCCTGGAACTGCCTAGGGGTTGGAAGTCACAACCTGTCCAGGGAACTCAGGACTTTCCAGGGCAGAATCTGTAAATCCTGTCCAGGCTGGCAGACACAGGAAGCCTGGAGCCTTAACAACAGCACCTCAGTCAGGGCCCAGCTCTCCTCCAGCCTTTGTCCTGCCGGGGCCTTGGCCTATGGCTTTAAACAGCCTCTGAAGCGAGGAGCAGACGCCCAGCTGGTCCCCCACTGCCAGTGCCCATTTCCTTCCAGTTCACCTCTAGCACTGGACTTACATGGGGAAAGCTGCTCTCCACCCTCTCTTAACCAAGCCTAAGGCCAGAGACCCGTAAAAACCAAGCAGCAGCTGTGGTCAGTGCTGCAGCTCACTAGGCTAATCCTCTGCCTTGTGGCGCCAGCACACCGGGTTCTAGTCCCGGTCGGGGCGCCGGATTCTGTCCTGGTTGCCCCTCTTCCAGGCCAGCTCTCTGCTGTGGCCTGGGAGTGCAGTGGAGGATGGCCCAAGTGCTTGGGCCCTGCACCCCATGGGAGACCAGGAGAAGCACCTGGCTCCTGCCATCGGATCAGCGTGGTGCGCCGGCCGCGGCGGCCATTGGAGGGTGAATCAACGGCAAAGGAAGACCTTTCTCTCTCTCTCTCTCTCTCTCACTGTCCACTCTGCCTGTCAAAAAACAAACAAACAAACAAAAAACAAACAAACAAAAAAACTAAACTAAAAAACCAAGCAGCAGCTGTGTGGTTAAATGGGACTTGGAGGAGCTCACCCTTCTGTGGGCTGTGCTATCTGGGGAGGTGGCCTTTGCTGGTCCTTCTTCTTTTTAAGATTTATTTATTTATTGGAAAGTCAGTTAATAGCAAGAGAGGGAGAGAGAGACAGACAGATAGACAGACAAAAGGAAAGGAGAGAGATCTTCCATCTACTGATTTACTCTGTAAATGAGCATAACGACCAGGGCCGAGCCAGGCCAAAGGCAGGAGCCAGGAGCTTCCTCCAGGTCTCCCACATGGGTGTAGGGGCCTGGGCACTTGGTCCATCTTCCACTGCTTTCCCAGCTACATTAGTAGGGAGCTGGATGGGAAGTGGAGCAGCTGGAACTATAACTGGTGCCCTTCCTCTGGCTGGGCTTCCGCTCTGTCTTAAGTCTCCTGCAAACTGGCTCCCATTTGGGATGCTGGCACTGCAGACGGCAGCTTAACCTGCTGTGCCAAAGCACAGGCCCCAGCTGGGCCTTCTCTGTACTCAGGTCATGCCCCAGTGCTGGTTCTGTGTTGGGTTGGGTGTATGGTGAGAACTGTCCCCATGGAGCTTGGGGGGATGCAGCGTGGAGGCTCACTGTTGCTGTGTGCCATGGTTAGGCACAGAGCTCCTGTGGGGCTACATTCGGGATGAAATGTCTCGGAGCTACCCAGGGTCACCTGACAGCCTGGGGAGGCTGTGGGTGCCCTATCTGGGGCACCCGGCAGCCTGGGGAGGCTGTGGGTGCCCTATCTGGGGCACCCGGCAGCCTGGGGAGGCCGTGGACACCCTACCCGGGGGGCATCCTGAGCAGCCTGTGGCTCGCTGGGCTCCCTGCCTTCTGGCATTGCAGGGCAGTGCCTGGGAGGGCTCAATATTCCCTCTGCCCTGGGAGCTGCAGCCTGGAGAGAGCTCTGCCAGGCAAGGGCAGGTCTGATTGTGGGTCCTGCCTGGACCCCTGGGCCTGGGCCCCTCCCTCTGGCCAGGCTCCTTCTGAGAGAGAGAACTGATATGGGCGGGGGCACTGCTTTGGCCAAGGCTGTGTGCTTTATCTACCTGTCCTCACTTCCTCTTTCCTCCTTCCAGACAAACGATGCAGCCGGCAACACGTGGAACTGGCTCTACTTCATCCCTCTCATCATCATCGGCTCCTTCTTCATGCTCAACCTGGTGCTGGGTGTGCTCTCAGGGTAAGAGGCACACAGGGCTTGTGCAGGTGCCCCTCTGTCTTCTCAGGCTAAGGGGAATGGGCAGTGGAGCTGGACCTGGTCACAGTGGGGAGGGCACCTGGTCCCATGGGTAACCCTCTGTGGAAGTGACTGCCAGCATCCTGGGCCTCTCTTGCTCTGTCCCTTTACCATCCCCCACCTCCTTACCAGTATGTCTCAAGCTCTGGCTCTGTTGTGGGGAAGGGCTGCTGCCGTGTCTCCCCTGGTGTGGTCTGTGCCGTGTGTCCCCTGGTGTGGTCTGTGTCGTGTCTCACCTGTGTGGTCTGTGCTGTTTCCCCTGGTGTGGTCTGTGCTGTGTCTCCCCTAGTGTGGTCTGTGCTGTGTCTCCCCTGGTATGGTCTGTGCCTTCTCTCATCTGGTGTTGTCTGTGCCCTGTCTCCCCTGGTGTGATCTATGCCATATGTCCCCTAGTGTGGTCTGTGCCATGTGTCCCCTGGTGTGGTCTGTGCCGTGTTTCCCCTGGTGTGATCTGTGCCGTGTGTCCCCTGGTGTGGTCTGTGCCGTGCGTCCCCTGGTGTGGTCCGTGCGGTGTTCCCCCCTGGTGTGGTCTGTGCCATGTTTCCCCTGGTGTGGTCCGTGTGGTGTTCCCCCCTGGTGTGATCTGTGCCGTGCGTCCCCTGGTGTGATCTGCGCCGTGTGTCCCCTGGTGTGGTCCGTGCGGTGTTCCCCACTGGTGTGGTCTGTGTGGTGTTCCCCCCTGGTGTGATCTGTGCCGTGTGTCCCCTGGTGTGATCTGTGCCGTGTGTCCCCTGGTGTGGTCCGTGCGGTGTTCCCCCCTGGTGTGGTCTGTGTGATGTTCCCCCCTGGTGTGATCTGTGCCGTGTTTCCCCTGGTGTGGTCCGTGCGGTATTCCCCCCTGGTATGGTCTGTGTGGTGTTCCCCCCTGGTGTGACCTGTGCCATGTTTCCCCTGGTGTGATCTGTGCCGTGTGTCCCCTGGTGTGGTTTGTGCCGTGTCTCCCCTGATGTGGTTGTGCCCTGTCTCACTTTGTGTGGTCTCTGCCATGTGTCCCCCTGGTGTGGTCTGTGCTGTGTCTCACCTGGCATTGTCTTTGCCCTGTCTGTCCTGGTGTGATCTGTGCCGTGTGTCCCTGGTGTAGTCTGTTTTGGGGCTTCCAGGTAGCCTCAATGAGTACAGAGCCTCTCTGTCACAGTGGCCACACATGTGGCCTCTGTGTCTCAGCTGCAGCCTGGACCCCTGTCATTGCCCTCTCCTCTCTGATTGCCTCTTTGTGTGAGCTCCTCCAGGAGAAGACACAAAGGGCACAGGGCTGGGAGTCTCTCCTGGGCAGAGGTGTTTCCTAACCTCTCACTGGAGTGAGAAGAGACAGGCTTCCATGGCCTGCTCTGAGGCCGCCGCCCTTGCCTAGGGAAGGAGGTGGAGGGTGTTGGGCCTGGCCTGTCTCTGTGCCCCAGCCAAGCATCAGACTCCGTAAAAGGTGGGAAGAAAAAATCTCATTATTCCACCCTCGAGACTGCTGCTCAGGTCTAGGACTCTGGACGCGGGGTGGGAAGAGTCTGGTGGACTCCAGAGGCAGCTGACCCGCAAGCCTGAGCAGCAGGCATGCAGACAGACGGCAGCCAGGGGCTCTGGCTCGGAGACGCATCCTTAGCCGCGGTCCTCTGCCTTGAGGACGGGGTTGGTTGTCTCCTCAGGTCGTTCTTAGCACCTCCACAGGGGCCACAGAAGCCCGCAGCACAGGGGCCAGTCTGGTGGGGAAGCCAGGGAAAGCTGGGGCTCCAAGAGGGCACCTGGGTAAGGGGTTTCTCAGGTGAGAGCCAGAGAGGGTCTAGGAATGAGCCAGGCTGAGAAAGCTGGGGCAGGGTCCACAGAGCAGAGGGTGGCACATGGGCTGCGAGGCTAAGGGTACAGTGCAGAAAGAGAGCTCAGAGACCAGCGGGCACTGGCAGCGACCAGGCTTCTGGGGAGTGTGGGCTTTGTGCTGAGCATACTGCACTGTGGGAGAGTGGAGGGAACACCAGGGGTTTCTGGGACAGAGCAGCACGTGCCTCCTCCTGTGCCGAGCATACAGGCAGGGCTGGAGGTGGGAGGGGAGGCAGAGGGCAGAGCTATGTATGTGGAGGGGCGATGCATCTTCCCAGCTGCTTTCCCACCTGTAGGCTCTCTGCCCTCTGGGAGAGGGAATGGGGGTGATTTCCTGGTTAGCCCAGCTGAGCCCTCCCTCAGGTGTCCAGTCCCAGCAGAGGGACCCCTGGGCTCTCTTCTGGTCCTGAGAGCCAGGGCCGGCACTCCTGTGCATGCTCTGCCTGGGGTGGATGCTGGTTCTGGGAGCTGGTCCAGCCTCGGTGTGGTCATGTCTGTCAGGAACTGCAGGAGGGAGCTGCTCGGAGCTGATTCAGTCTCATTCTTCCTCCTTTCTGGGGCTCTTGTCCTCCTGGCATCCCAGAGAAGTGGAGCTGTTGGTTCCCCTTATGGCCCTTCTCATCCTGTGAGGACAGGGCGAGCGGGTGGATGGGCCCTGCTGCTAGCCCTGTGGTAGGGACTGGACACCATGGTTAGTTTCTGTCGGCAGCACTCCTGACAGCTACAGCCGTATCATTACTCCCTGTCTCAGGGTGTGGCCAAGAGGCCACCGTGGACTCTGCCTGCCTTTACATTTGGGAGTGGGATGCCCAGATAGGAGGGTGGCAGGCCTGGGTGGGACGCTGGCCTGTCTTATTGCCTGGACACATTGGCCAGAGGCTTAGCGTCTGTCCTTATCAGACCCATGCACTCTCTCTCACTGTGGCTGTGTGTGTCAGGAGTCAGGACTGCCATAACACCACACCCAGCCGAGAAGCTTCTCTGCAGATACACGCATGCACGGTGTGGGAATGCCTTTCTTCTGGCTGGGAGGTTGGGGCTGGACATGGGTGTGCTGGACAGCAGATAGCAGGGCAGTCCTGGCCCATGGGGGTACTTGCCTAGGCCCGTGGTAGGTGGGGGTTTGAGCCATCTCTGCCCTCTCGAATGCTCCCTCTGTGCACCAAGGAGATGTCTCTGTGAGCTGCAGGTTGTCTTGGGGAGCAAGGAGCTTAGTAGGAGCTGAGCAGCGCCCTCCTTGTGCTCAGTTTAGAAGAGCTGGAGTTTCCTGCCCTGGCCTTTTGCTAGTGCCCCTTCCCCTGGGGGTGGCACACCTCTGGGCTGTGGTCTCCTGATGACTTACTTGTCCATCCCCGGCACCTCCAGAGAGTTTGCTAAGGAGCGCGAGAGAGTGGAGAACCGCCGCGCCTTCCTGAAGCTCCGGCGGCAGCAGCAGATTGAGCGGGAGCTCAACGGGTACCTGGAGTGGATCTTCAAGGCTGGTGAGAGCCAGTAGGAGTGGGCTGCCCAGCTCCTGGCCCCAAGCCCCTTCTGCAGCCAGCTGGGGTCCCCTGCTTTGCATGGAGTTTGATGGAGGGAAGTTGAGGCTCTAAAGGTTTCTCTGCGACTACCCAGGGGCCTGGCCCCAGGCAACCACATGGCTCCGAGGACCTGGCTTCTCTAATGGGGGATTAAAAGCCAAGGCACAGCTGAAGCTGGGCTCTGCCATTTGGATTCAAGTACTGTGCCCTTGACCTGCCCTTGACCTGGGTCTCTCCCTGGTCCAGGCGCTATCTGCCAGGTGGGGTACTTGTTCCTGCCTCGTGAGGCTTCACAAGGACTCCTCTGAGAGGCAGCCACCTGTGGGGCAGGGTCAGGTGTTGCTGGGGACACAAGACAGACTTGAGGCAGCTGGGCCCTGTCTGTGGACCGTGGTCTGGGTCAGGCCCTGCTGTGTCCTGGAAGTATAAGGGCTAAGAAGGCCATGGCAGGGTCTTCTGCTGGGGCTGGGAGGGCTCTGACCAAGGCTATTTCCCCTTGCAGAGGAAGTCATGCTGGCTGAGGAGGACAGGAACGCAGAGGAGAAGTCCCCTCTGGATGGTAGGTGGCTCTGGTTGCCCTCCTGGTGTTGGGAGAGCGCAGCTGGCTGGTGGACCGTGGTGTGTTCCCTGGGCTTGGTGCCTGCACCTCTGTCACGTGATAGACCTGAGGCTGAAGTCTGACGTCATCACCTGAGCAGGTTCTGTGGATGGTGCTGCTTCTGCAGTCTTAAAGCTGCAGGTTGAAACCACACTGTGTCCCAGGGCGTGGGCTGCTGCTCCCAAGGGCCATGGGAAGACCCTGGGACCACCAGGGGCCACTGAGGCTGGGGTGAGGCCATAGCAGCAGGAAGGCCCTCTCTCCACACCCACTGCTCAGGTGAGCGCCAGGCAGCAGGGCCACAGCTGCTGCCACTCGGTGGCCCCCATGCTCTGAGCAGCTCTGCACTGAGCCCTTGGCAGCCCTGCCTTGCTCCAGATGGCTGCTCCTGGTCTCCCTGGTGGCCAGGCCTCTCCACTGACCTCACTGTGGAAGGAAGGGAAAGTGACCACCCACCTTCAGAACTTCCTTGTTCTTTGTGCTGGGACTGAGGGGTCCCAGGGCTGGGGACATCCTGCCTCATCCTCAGCGCAGACAGAGGCCAGGGGTGGCCACTTGTGGGGAGGCTAAGCCCACGCAGGTCACTCACAGCGTCCCCTGCTCTGCTTAAAGCAGTGTTGAAGAGAGCAGCTGCCAAGAAGAGCAGAAGCGACCTGATCCAGGCCGAGGAGGGGGAGGGCCGGCTCACAGGCCTCTGTGCTCCCGGTGAGTACCCTTGGCTTTGCGTGGCCTGGCCCTGGACCCAGTGTGCACTGGCCCTCCCGACGCCAGCTGCAGCAGGGCTGTCTTCGTGCCCCAGTGCCTGCTCCTTCATCTCATGGGCCTTGCTGTCTCCCACAGGGGCATACAGCCCTGGTCATATCTGGAGGCCAGACCTTTACACGTCCTGTAAGGGGCAGAGGTTTCTGGCCACGTCCCCCACCTTCCCTGGGCTATGCCTTGGAGGCCCTCACCTCATCCCCTGCTTCCCCCTCTGTGAAAAGGAAATCCTGGGGAATTTACCCCCACAGCTGTTTAGTCCCCTTAGCACCTGAGTGTCCAGGTTGTCCTCCACCATGGCCTGTTCCTCAGCCTATGTCTCAGCTGGGTGGGGGAGGCATGGACACTGGGCAGACCATGTTCATGTCAAGGTCCTGGGTCCAATCCAATCTTTTTTTTCTTTTAAAGATTTATTTATTTATTTGAAAGTCAGAGTTACAGAGAGAGAGAAGGAGAGGCAGAGAGGGAGAGCTCTTCCATCCACTGGTTCACTCCCCAGTTGGCTGCAATGGCTGGAGTTGGGCCTATCTGAAGCCAGGAGCCAGGAACTTCCTCTGGGTCTCCCATGCAGGTGCAGGGGCCAAGGAGTTGGGACATCTTCCACTGCTTTCCCGGGCCATTAGCAGAGAGCTGGATTGGAAGTGGAGCAGCCAGGACTTGAACCAGTGCCCTTATGGGGTGCTGGCACTGCAGGTGGTGGCTTTACCTGCTACATCATAGTACCAGCCCCTCCAATGCAGTCTTGAATTCCTTACTGTCCTAAAGATCTGTTTCCTGTTAACATTGTTTCATTGATGAGACAGCACACTGTAATGAAGCCACATACACAGCACTCTGCCTTGAACATGCCCAAATATGGGTACACACATGCACCCCCCCACACCACACTCCCCACGTACATGCATGCACACAGACCCCCTACATCCTCCTGTGTACATATATGTGCCTGCACTCCCCTACATGTGCATACACAGGCACACATATCCCCACACCTCCAAGCCCCTCATGTAGCACACACCTACACATGCAACATACCTACACACACATGCATGCACACACAGACTCCCCACATCCCCCCACGTACAAACATGCTCCTGTGCTATCCCCAACTGATGTACATGCACACCTGGTGTTGTGGGGTGCATGGATTGAAACACAGCAAGACTTTTGAAGTCAGATTAGGAGTCTGTCTTAGCCAGCTGGCGACTGCCTTCTCACAGAGCAGGTCTGGAGAAGACAGCCCTGAGTTGCAGGGGTGGGGGCTTTTTAAAGGCAGAACCTAATTTTATCAGACATTTGATTATGCATGTGAGCCTGTGCGAGCAGAAAGCAGGCATACAGAAGCAAGAAGCAGTTAGCTAATTCGCCAGGTTTTTTTGTAACCTTGACGCCACCTGTGCTTTCCTGTGTCTGCAGCCGGGAGTAGACAGGAGAAACCACAGTCTAGTGGCCTTGGCCATTATCAAGCAAGCAGAGGTACAGAAGCTAGAAATGGGCCAGTTACAAACTAACATTTAATTTTATGAAGAATAGGCCTTGTTTTAAAACAACCAAGCAAAATAACCTATCGAACTTTGAGTCCCTTGTCATACCGGCACCCCCTACATGGACACACAGGCACACACAGCATACACAAACATACACGCATGCTTTTGGGCTTCTCAGAGTTTCCAGTGACAGTGCAAGAAGATGTTTGTCCCTGGCCCCAGTGGACGCTGCCTGTCATTCTTGTCTCACTCTCCGCCTCTTCCAAAGTCTGTTTCCCATCAGATTTGTTCCGTGGCATGTCCTGATACCTCATCCACTTTTCTGTGCAGTCATTCATATTGGTCTTGTCAATCACAAGAGGCCGGTATATTTTATAGATTTGAGTCCTTTGTCACCTCAGTGGAATTTTAAAAAATTTTTCCTATGAGTGTTCTCCTGTTTCTGTTTCACATAGAATTTTTGTCCTGATTTTGTGAGGTGAGTTAAAGAGCTTTAAAAAGTCTTTTTCAATGGCCTGGTCTTTGTAAGTAAAATGAAACTATGACTCCATAGAATCCAAGAAAAAAAGAATATGGGCCAGTTTTGTAATCTATGCTTTGTCAGGAAATATTCCATTTTCTCTGAGTATTCAAACATTTTTTTGAGCTGTGTGTAGTATTCTCTTAAAAACTCTTCTGTATTCCGTCATTTCTGTGTTCATTCACTCAACAAATGTGTATTAAGTGGCAGTGACTGAATTGCTTGAAGCACTGAAGCTACAACTTTGAACTAAGCAATGAAGGTCCTTTAGCTTCTGGAGTTTCCATTCCAGTGGAAGCATCAGACAGCAAATTAGGTACACTGATACAAAATGTGTCCCAACACTAGGTGCCCAGGGCCTGCAGGTGCTGGCCTTGCACACCGAATGGCCAGGGATGGCTAAGGAAAAAGACTGCCCCTCAGTGGAGAGCTAGAGGAAGTGGGAACCCAGCCAGTGGGACGCCTGGGAGAGAGACCCACGGCAGGAATATGCCTGGCAGGTGTGACCTGGGGCAGCAGGAGGGGACAGAGAGCTGTGGTGGGCTGGGTCCAGGCAAGGATTCCAGGTGGCCCTGGCTGCGTTCAGAAGGCCAGAGCAGAGGCTGCTGAAAGACCCAGGACAGTGGTGTGCACTTGGAGGTAGCAGGGAAGGTGATGTGAAAGGGTTGCATTGTGGGTATACTTTGAAGATTTGCTGATCAGTTAGCTGGACATGGGTTAGAGAAAGAGAGGGACATTAGGACCACATCATAGATTTTGGTCTGAGCATCCAGGACAGAGAAGATCTGCCTGGGAAGACTGGACTGCAGGGAGGAGTGATTGTGGGCACTGATGCCTAGGTCCAGCATGGGGCCTGGGATGGGTGCAGGAGACCCAGTGGGAGCCAGGTCCAGCATGGGGTGTGAGGGGCCTGGGATGGGTGCAGGAGACCCAGCAGGAGCCAGGTCCAGCGTGGGGAGTGTGGGACCTGGGATGGGTGCAGGAGACCCAGTGGGAGCCAGGTCCAGCATGGGGCATGAGGGGCCTGTGATGGGTGCAGGAGACCCAGCAGGAACCAGGTCCAGCGTGGGGAGTGTGGGGCCTGGGATGGGTGCAGGAGACCCAGTAGGAGCCAGGTCCAGTGTGGGTGTGCAGGTGCAGGGGCCCAAGGACTCAGATCATCTATAGCTTCTCAGGCACATTAGCAGGGAGCTGCATTGGAATAGCTGTGACTCAAAGCTGTGCTCTCGCAAGGGATACCAGTGCTTCAGCTCACTGCCCTACAGTGCTCTCCCCAAGAGTGTGCTTCTTAATTTACAGGAACTGTTAAGACATTCTAATCATCATCTTATCTCTAATTTTATCAGAGAGTAATTGCGAATTGTGGCCTTTTCGAGTTCAAATTACTTCATGGCTGATTGTAGGAGTCTTGTCAGCATCAGCAAAGCAGTTCATCCCAGTAGTTGAGACCCCGCGTTGTGAGTGCCTGTGTTCTGGTCAGATGAGTGTCTGCTTCCTGCCTGCTGGAGCGTTCAGCTTTAACAGGTGCCTGAACATTGACCCTTCACTGTAGTTGATGGATTCCTCATGTGCTTTTAGTGACCTTTGTGTGTGTAGCCATTTGACCAATAGAAAATGGGTGACTGTGTGTCTTCCTCACAGACTGTGGGTCACTCAGCACACAACACCTCCTGTGTGTCCCTGCTTCCTCCCCTGGACGGCACTGCCGTCTGACACAAATGCCGCTCCTGCTGCTGCTCCCTGCCCTCGCTGGTTTTTGTTTTCAGCTTGTGTTAGCCTGGTACCTTTCCTTCCCTCTAGTTCAGCTTTTCTGCGTCATTGTAGTGTTTCTGTAGATTGTGGTGACTGTCCTTTTCCTAAGCCTGTGTAATGGTCTCCCTTTCTGATGGGAGCAACTTTGCAGGTGACAGGTCTCCACAGTGCTCGCAGAAAAGTGTGTGTTATGAGAAAACTAGACATGGGCTTCAGAAGTTTTTTTGCTAAAGATCTTTATCTTTTGATTCTATTTTCCATGAACTTAAAAAAAAGGATTTCTGTATTTATTTGAAAGACAGAGGGAGAGAGAGAGAGAGGGAGGGAGGGAGGGAGGGAGGGGGAGAGAGAGAAAGAGAGATCTTCTATCTGTTGGTTGGTTCACTTGCCCAAATGCCCCCAACAGCCTGGGCTGGGCCAGGCCTACATCAGGAGTCAGGAGCTCCATCAGGGTCTCCCGTGTGGGTGCAGGGTCCAAGTGTGTGAACCATCTCCTGGCAAAGGCTTTCTTTTTTCTTTTTCTTTTTTTTTAAAAGATTTATTTATTTGAAAGGCTCAGCAGGAATGGTCTGTTTTCTTCCATGGGTATGACATGAGTGCCAGGGATTGGCCCTGGCACATACAGCACAGCCATGACTCCTGCACGCACTGGGACAGCCATGTACTCCTGCATATACAGGGACAGTTGTGCACTCCTGCACATACAGGGATAGCCATGCACTCCTGCACACACAGGGAGAGCCGTGCACTCCTGCACACACGGGAACAGCTGTGCACTCCTGCACACACGGGGACAGCCATACACTCCTGCACACTCAGGGACAGCCGTGCACTCCTGCATATACAGGGACAGTCGTGCACTCCTGCACACACAGGGACAGCCGTGCACTCCTGCATATACAGGGACAGCCGTGCACTCCTGCACACTCAGGGACAGCCGTGCACTCCTGCACACACAGCACTGCCATGCACTCCTGCACACACAGGGACAGCCATGGACTCTTGCACACACAGGGACAGCCGTGCACTCCTGCACACACAGCACAGCCGTGCATTCCTGCACACACAGAGATAGCCAGTGCAGACACATGGATCCCCAGAGCCTGTAAGCACTCAGAGATTCACCTGGGCTTCTGCTTCCCTTGTCTGGGAAACTGGAGTGAGGCCCGGTCAAGGGAGTGACAGGGATAACTGGCACCATTGCTGCGACTGTTGAGGCTGGGGGCTAGTGTCCCGGAGGGTGTCTGGGCAAGTGGGTGTCTTGGGCTCCCCAGTGAGTGTGTCCGTGGGTGTGTCCGTGGGTAGGCGCTCCAGAGGCAGGTGTCTCCCTGGAGGGCGTGTCCACAGGCTCGTGCATGTCCTGGGCCTCAGCTAGCTCCTGTCTCCCAGGTTCCCCGTTCGCCCGTGCCAGCCTGAAAAGCGGGAAGACGGAGAGCTCGTCGTACTTCCGGAGGAAGGAGAAGATGTTCCGCTTCTTCATCCGGCGCATGGTGAAGGCACAGAGCTTCTACTGGACGGTGCTGTGTGTGGTGGCACTGAACACACTGTGCGTGGCCATGGTGCACTACAACCAGCCGCAGCGGCTCACCACGGCATTGTGTACGTCAGGGGCCTAGGGTCCCGCCAGACCCACCCTCAGAGTGTGAATGAGGGGAGGGCTTCTGCGTGTCCCGGGGGTGGCAGGAGCAAGCCAGGCTAGACAAACTTGTGTCTTCAGACCCGTAGGCCCTGGCCCTTGGAGACCGCCATCCTGTGAGACTGCTCCTGAGGAAAGAGGGCCCTGGTGTCGCGCACCCCCAGGGCTATCCTGGTTGATTCCTTTTTCTTTACAATTCACTGGATCTGGGGGTGCCTGTGTGCAGTGCTGATTCGCTGTCCCATGTCCAGAAGCCCCAGTCGGGGATCCCAGCCACCCACGTCCAGGGAACAGGACTGAGATTTCCAGGCTGACCCTTCCTCTCCTGGGGCTGCTGGCCACGTGGGACTGTGAGTCTTGGTGAGCAGTCTTGACCCCTCGCAGAGCGCTGTAAGCACGACCACGGCCCCTGCCTCTGTTTCCTGTGCTGCAGACTGCACTTGAGGCTTTGCATTCTCTAGGGGTCAGCTGCGCTCGCCCTCTTGCTGCCAGGGAATGGCACCTGCTTTGGGCTCCTACAAAGCCCTCACTCTCCCATTGAGAGCCGTGGGGCCCTAAAACTGCTCCACACACCTAAGAGCCATTTCTGGCTGTGGAGGAGAAGCTCCCTGGCTCTCAGTGCTAGCCACCTGGTTGGCATCCCCTGACCACTGAGCCCGAGTGCTGTGTGCAGGATTCCCCTGGAGCAAGCGCCTCCCTCGCCCCTCTCAGTTCTTTATTCCTGTCCTGGGCTGAGATCTCAGAACTTGGGGAGCTCATCCTGGGAGGGGCCCAGAAGTCTGGTGTTCTATGGTCTGGCCAGAGGCCTCGCTCTAACCCTCTCTTTTCTGGCTTCTCCTAGACTTTGCAGAGTTTGTTTTCCTGGGTCTCTTCCTCACAGAGATGTCCCTGAAGATGTATGGCCTGGGGCCCAGGAGCTACTTCCGGTCCTCCTTCAACTGTTTTGACTTTGGGGTGAGTGGGTGCCTGCTGGGATGCCCTGGGGGGACAGCATTCTCAATATGCTCTTGTCTGACCATACAGTGCCACCCACCATGTGTACCCAGCGTGGGCTGGGCTCTGTGATCTTGTGTGGGTGCAGAGGCTGGAGAGGGAGGCCTGCCCTGGCTGTGCCCGACAGAGGGGGGCGTCAGCCGCTATTGCTCCCCACATGCAGGTAGTCATCTTTTCCCTGTGACCCCTACCTGTAGCCCCTCAGGATCTGCAGTAGGCTCGATAGTTCCCTCTGTGCTGGGCCCTTGCTGGCCTCTGGGGGGCTCATTCTCTCCCCAACAGAGCTCAGGGCCACTGTGGTCCTGGTTCCCCAACCATCCTACAGATCTGGTCTTGAGCAGGCTTGGGTCTATGCCCCAGTGCTTTGAGGAATAGTGCTGGGCCATGGTGCCAGGCCACAGTGGCCTGCCCCTCCTGTGATCCTGGCCTGATCCCTTCATCAGCCTCGGCAGGACAAGGAAGCTGCTGCGTTGAGTAGGAAGTGCCCATGGCTAGCTGTGAGAGTTGAGACCAGAATGCAGGGCAGGGTCAGCACAAAAAGCATCTCCCCGAGACCCAGCAGAGGCTGTGGGACACTTGCCTGGGGTCTGTGGCCCTGTCAGCACCTGCTGGAGGCTCCAAGTGATGAGGGGAGGTTCACAGTCCTTGGGAGAGACTTGGATATCAGCTGAGTTTGCAGTGGCCAAGGACTCAGCCAAAATTTCAGCTTGAAAATTTGGCTTAATTTGAAATGTTCTCATGGTGGCACCGCACTTCTGTTAAGCTCTCATAACTCTCCCTTTGTAGATGAGTTATTGAAGACAGCTCCCTGGAGTCTCACCTCATTCCAGCTCAGCTCAGAGCTCAGCATTTAAGTCAGGTGCAGGTGTGGACGTAGCTCTTTAAGTATGGCTCCTTCACTCTATTGCCTTAAGAAGCTAGAGAAACAAGTTATCTTCCCCACAACCAATATACAGTCATGGATAATGCTGTCAGCATTCCTGTTTCTCAAGGGGACAGTGGGAACCACAGGAGACCCACTGGGCCACAACAGTTCTGAAATCCAGCTCAACAGATGTTGGGAATTCTTTAACTAGCTCCTCTGGCCTGGGAAGCCTCCTGGGCTCTTGGTTCTGCCCCCGGGTTGCTGTCCTTTGTCTTCAGCTGGGCACATTTCCCAGCCTGCTTCCTACCAGGAGAGTTTTGGGAATGGGGACACCTCTTTTTGTTTGGTGTTGTCCTGGTCCCCTTCAGTGCAAGCTGTAATGTCTGCGTGTCTGTGAGAACTTTGTAGATGTCTTGTGATCTGCTTGGGGTTGAGCCCTGCTCTGCCTGTGTCCTGTTGTGGTGTCTGAGGGCTGACACCTGCCTGCTTCACTGACAGGCTCTGTGAGGGATGCTGTCTGTCTCTTTGAAGTGTGACAGGCACCGTGTTTGCGAGTAAAAGTCACCATCTTGACCTCGGTCTCATCTTTCGACCATGCCATTTCATGTGCCACCTGGAAAGGGTGAGCATTTTCAAAACAAGCATACCCTGGCCTTTTGCTGATGGTGTGTTAGCTGTTTAGCTGTCGCTTCTCCCTGTGAGGTGGCGCCTTTCAGTGCTTGGTATAGAAGTCTGCGGTGGATTTCCTAGTTCATGACACATTGTCTACGTTTCACGCGACTGCAGGCAGCATCATGGCCACACCTCCTGGATGATCACTGCAGGACCCCATCCTCAGGCACCAGTCAGATTCTCCCTCTCTGAAGGGGAATGCCCAGCATTCTCTGAGCTGTGTGTTCAGGAGGCATTAAGGTCTCTCGGATTTGCTACTCAAGGCCCATTCTCTGGCTTTTATTACAGCAGTGTTCACTTCTGTTTCCACAATCTGCATTGATTTGTCTTTTTGAGGAACAAATTATCCCAACACTTTGTGGTTAAACCAGAAAACATTTGAGTGTTTCTGTGAGTGAGGGATCAGGATGTGATACCTGGGGTGCTCAGAGTCTTCACCGGTCATCTCAGGCTCATTTGGGGCTACAGAATTCAACTCCATGCCCATGCTAGTGGCTGTTGTCAGGCCTCAAAAACTCAGGTTCCAGGCTCCTATGTGCCTGGTTATGCAAACCTCTCCAGAGGTTGCTGGGGTGGCCTTAGAATAGGGCTTCTGGTGATCTGAGAAAGAGCTGGGGCACCCAGGACAGAGAAGCAAGGGTCTTTTGTAGCCTCGGCTCACGGGTGACGTCCCTGACTCCTGCACTGTTCTCTTTGCCAAGAGTGAGTCTTGGCCCAGCCTATCCTCCAGGGGATGGGATTATGTGAAGAGTGACAATCAGGTGATGAGAATTTTGGAGGCTGTCTTGGAGGCTGCCTACTATGTGAACCAGTGGGGACAAATTTTGAGAATTAGTAGAAAACAGGAGAGATGCTGGAAGACTGCCAGCAAGAGGGAACTTAGAAAACTACTATCTTCGGCCCAAGCAAACATCTAGGTATTTGCTGATGATAATAAAAATCAGTGGTGATGATAAAGGGCCAGTGAGTGGTCGCTGGGAACAGATCAGTGAGCCTGCCCCGGCTGCAGCATTGGCAGGCCATCCCAGACGCTGCCCCAGCCGCAGTGTTGGCTGGCCATCCCAGATGGGCCTGGTTGTCGGCAGGACATCTGCTGCTCTCTGAACGAGGCATTTGTGGGAAAGGCAGAGCAGTGTGCGTTTCAGTGAACTCCAGTGCAGACAGAGGAGTGAGGACCTGTAGGAGGGACTGGCATGCTGCAGGGCTGTGGCCTGGCCTGTCCTCTCCGTGACTGGATACGGACTCTGACGCTCAGCTAAGGTTTGCAAGAGACAAGTACGGTAGAACTGAATTTAAGAGACAGATACTCAGCGTTTAAATTTCCCATGCCAATTGCAGACACGTAGGTTAGAGGAAATGAGAATGACACACATAAAGAGGACAGGAGTGTACCTGCACATGGGAGTCCCCAGGGAGCCCCACTGCGGAACTTCAGTTTGGACCCCTGCAGTGTCCTCTCTGCTGCACCCAGCCTCCCCTCCTTCCTGAGCCTCTCACGTGATGCCTTACCAGCTGGCCTCAGCCAAGGGCCATCTGAAAGGAGGTGTCTGCCCCTCGCCCACAAGCCCCAGGCTACCAATAGCGGTAGTGCCTGAGATAGCCCCATCAGGAAGACGTAAGGGGCAGGCCTGCCGCCATCTGTTCTCGGTGGTACATCCTGGCTCCTGGGCCCTGGGAGAGAGAAGAGCCTGCATATTTTGGAGGCAGAGCAGGACCAAGGAGGGGAGTTGCAGAGAAATGGGTTTTGAATTCTGAGAGGACGGCGTAGTGGCCTGGCCCCAGATGTGTCTAAGAAGATGCTGGCTTCACCTTGCTGTGACAAAGCTCAGGTGAGGCACTAGATGAACTGTCAGGAAACCGAAGGCCTCACCGTGCTCCAGGTCCTTTGTCTGCCTGGTGTATCTGGGGTGGGATGGGAGAGAGGACAGGTGCCAGGACCAGAGGGACTGTGCCCTTAGAGGACACAGCATGAGGTGTACTCCTCCACTCCTTTGGCTTGACTACATGCAGGAATCAGAGTGGGCACCCAGAGAGATGCTGCCACACAGGTGCACACTGCAGACAGGTGCACACGCTCATGGATGCCATGGGTGCACACACACACAGGTGCACACCCACAGATAGGTGCAGACACTCATGGATGCCAAGAGTGCACACACACACAGGTGCATGTGTAGACATGCACGTTCACAGATGTCATGGGGTGCACATGCACACAGGTACACACTGCAGACAGGTGCACACAGTCATGGATGCCACTGGTGCACACACACACAGGTGCACACACAGGTGCACACTGCAGACAGGTGCACACACTCATGGGGTGCACATACACAGGTGCACACATTCTCGGTTGCAAGTGCACATGTGTAGACTACACATTCGTGGATGTCATGGGGTGCACACACCCAGGTGTACATGTGCATACATGCACATATTCATGGATGCCATATAGTGTGCACACATACAGATGCACACATTCATGGATGCCATGGGGTGCACACACACAGGTACATGTGCAGATAGGTGCACACATTCATGAATGCCACGTGGTGTGCACCCATGCACATAACATTCATGGATGCACGTGGCGTGCACACAAACAGGTGCACATGCACAGATACATGCTTGGATGCCACGTGGTGTGCACCCACAGGCGCACATGTGCAGACATGCATGCGTAGGTGTGGATGTGCCTGAGGCTGACGCTGTTCCCACTGCAGGTCATCGTGGGCAGTATCTTTGAAGTGGTCTGGGCTGCTGTCAAGCCAGGGACCTCCTTCGGGATCAGTGTTCTGCGGGCTCTGCGCTTACTGAGAATCTTCAAGGTCACCAAGTAAGTTGTCCATGGCGTTGCAACTCACCTGTGTGCTCCTGGGCAGGGGAAGTAGACTGGGTGCCACGTAAGGTCGGGGACTCTGGGGGCTTGTTCTCAGGGATTCATGGTGTTCAGAAATCTGTTTCTGAGGCTTCTGATTGGTTTAACTACAAGACAGTCACAGAACAGCACAGGCGGGAAACCAGCCCAGCATGGCTTCCTCTCAACCTTGTTGTGGCTGTGCCAGTCCTTGGCGTCGCCCCCTACTGGCATTAGGGCTGCAGCGTGCACTCTGGTTTTAGTTCTTGCTGTTTCTTCTGTAGACACTGCAGTGCCATCACCCGCACCTGCAAAGCTAGCTTTGCCTGTGGCTGCCAGGAGAGGGAAGTTACCAGATGGAAGGGTTTTCATCATCCTGCCCCCACCTACCCTCCTGTCCTGCAGCTCCAGTCTGCCCTGAGCCAGCCTTGCGCCTGCGCAGCTCCTGATCCTGGGGCTAACTTCACCCTGGCCCTGCCCCTTCTGAGTCTCGGTGGCATTGATAGCAGCAAGACCCTGTTTTTGGTCCTGCCTTCCTTGGGTCTTTGGATGTGAACTGCCCTCGTGGAGACAGGCTCGGGGCAGTGAGGTGGTGCAGTTGGTGAGCGGAGGACTGGGCTGAAACCTCCCCTGGCTTGAGCTGTGGTGGGTGGACAGCAGTAGGAAGCCCACTCTGCAGCGGCCTCAGCCAGTGTAGGCTGTGATCAGCCCAGAGCAGGGACGCCAGGAGGCCGTGGGCTCCCCTGTCCTCACAGGGCCCCACCTGCTCCTCTGCATGGGTTCTGGGTGGCGTCCCTGCCAGCCTGGACCCCGGTGCTGAAGGAGCAGAAGCACTGACACTGAGGCCGTCAGGATCTGGGTTTGCAGCTCATCCCTCCATGGCCAAGGTCCCCTCTTGGAATCCCCATGGTCTCCTAAGGTGGACAAGATTCTGATGATCTTTTCTAGTCTGCTGTAAATCTAAACCCAAGCCCTTGTGAGGAGATGAAGGCTCACATGTGGAAGGGTCTGGGCAGGACTTTGTCCAGCAGGATCCACAGCCCCCTTGGCTTCCCTTACCCTTCCGTGACATGCTGGGGCGGGGCTCCAGGGAGGGTCCGTAGGGGCTGCCCATTCTCAGCCTCAGTGCCTGACATCAGGGAGCAGGAGGCTCTTGTGCTGGGTCAGGCTGGGTCCTTCTGCCACTAGCCCTTGTGTGAGAGTCCGAGAGGACAGCTGGGCTTCTGATGTGGGCAGCAGGGAGAGCACCACGTTTTAGGGCCTGGTGTAGTGCAGGGGAAGACTATTGTCCTGCCATCATTCTGGGACAATAGGACAGCATGGCAGAGGCACAGGCGTGTGGCTGGCCTTGCCGGGGAGGGGCTGGGGCAAAGCCATGCACTTGGGCACTCCTGGGAAGACCCCTTCAGAGACTGGGGGTGGCAGTCAGCAGTGAGTTCTCTTGTAGGCATGGATAGGGCCCGTGTGCTGGAGACAGCTGGTGGTGAAAGCGGCCGTGGTGTGGGATGATGCAAGCAGGCAGAGAGGCCAGGGGGAATCTTGATCGCAGTGTGCAGGGACCTGCATGTGGAGGGGAGCAATGCTGGTGGTGTTGATACAGCTTCTCCCACCGTAGGCCATGGACAGACCTGAACCGTGGCTCTTGCTGGCTGAAGGGTGTTGGGAGAGAGGGAATGGGAGGAGTGAGGATGAGGTCCAGGCTTAGGCTTGGCCTCCTGATGCGGGGGTGGGTGGGGGGGGTGGGTGACCTTGCTGTGCCCAGGAGAGTGGCCAGGGAGCAGGGGGTAGGTTCTCTCTGCTGTCCCATGGAGCCCGCATGCTGATGAGTTCAGGAGAGCTGGTCTGAATTCCAGAGAAAAGCTCTGGCTTGGCATCGAGGCCTGGGGGCCCTCACAGTGTAGCTGCAGGGGGCCTGGGTGAATGTGGCTGGGGGGTTCCTGGGTGAGTGAGTGTGGCGAGGCGGGGGGACTGAGTGTGGCTGCAGAGAGGGTGAGTGTGGCTGCAGGAAGGGTGAATGAGTGTGGCTGCCCGGCCTGGGTGAGTGTGGGTGCAGGGGCCCAGGTGAATATGGCTGGGGGTGCTGGGTGGTGTGGCTGTGGGGGCCCAGGTGAGTGTGGCTGCAGGGGGCCTGGGTGAGTGTGGCTGGGGGTGCTGGGTGAGTGTGGCTGTAGGGGGCTGAGTGTGGTGAAAGAAGGCTGAGTGAATGACTGCAGGGGGTTGGGTGAGTGTGGTTGTGGGGACCCAGGTGAGTGTGGCTGCAGGGGCCTGGATGAGTTTGGCTGCGGGGGGCTGGGTGAATATGACCTCCATGCCTGGAGGGCCTGGCCAAGCAGAGCCCAGGTCCTGACCATGCCTGCCTGACTGACAGATACTGGAACTCCCTACGGAACCTGGTGGTGTCTCTGCTCAACTCCATGAAGTCCATCATCAGCCTCCTCTTCCTGCTCTTCCTGTTCATTGTTGTCTTTGCTCTGCTGGGGATGCAGCTGTTTGGAGGCCAGTAAGTAGCCCGAGATGGGGGGTGCAGGGCCAGGGGCCCTGGGGAGGTGGCCCCTCCTCCACCTGGCTTCCCTTGCTAGACCCAGGTACAGGGGCAGGTTGATGCCAAGGACGCAGGCCACTGACAGCCAGTCCCTGCTTGCCACTGGTGGGGCTGTCTCTTCCCAAGATTTCGTTTTCCTCAGGTTCAACTTTAAAGACGAGACCCCAACGACCAACTTTGACACCTTCCCTGCTGCTATCCTCACCGTCTTCCAGGTAAGGTTCCTGCTGCCTGCACCTTTGCATCCCCCACCCCGGGGGCTGGGGAGCCTCTCATCAGTTCCCTCTCACTCCCAAATGCAGGACTAGCAAGGCAGCCTCCAGTGTGCAGGCTCCATGACGCTACCCTGAGGGGCAGATGTAGCCTCTGGGGACCCCTGTCCAGCAGCCATGAGGCTTCCAGCCGCCCGTTTGGGAACCTGGAGTCACTCTAAGAACACAAAGCCAGAGCACTCCCTAAACATCTCCCAGTGTCTCAGGGAACCCCCCCCCCTAAGTTATCTTCTGTATCTGGAAAGCTTGCCCACAGCTCCTTGGGAAGCTGAGGCTGAGGCTCCTGGGGCTGTGGTCTCACAGATGTGGACCCGACTGGCTTTCCTGATGGACAGCCCTGAGCTTGTCTGTCCTGCTGTGGTGTCTGAGGCGAGTGGGGGTTGCAGGGCTGTCTTCTTGCTCTCAGTGACTTCCAGGAGGCCCGGCAAGCAGAATATGCTGCAGGGTGGGGGCCCTGCTCCTCTCCCTGGGTTCTGGGGCTGCCAACCCAGCTTGGTGAGGAGGGGGCCTTCTGTCCCACTCTCGAAGGGAGGAGTCTTTCCAGCAGACTGCTGCACCCAAACTTGTCCTAATGATTTGTGCCTCCCTGGCCGTCCCCACACTCACACATCCCTGCTCACCCTCCCATTTGGGAGCCTGAGGCCTGGCTCACCACAGCCATGCTGTGAGCTCCTCCAGCAGAGGCCCTGGCCCCTGGCGCCAGGTGTTGCCCCTGTCCCTTCTTCCTGTGCCATTAAGTGCTTCAGGAGCCCTAGACCTCTGTCCTACTAACCCTCCTAGCACAGACTCCTTGACTGCTCACTGCTATTGTCTTTTCACATTGAAACCTCTGGCTGGTGACTCCCAAAATTTGGTCTCCTAACTGTTTCTGAACATATATTGGGTGATAGGATCTGTGCTAGCCTCTGAGTGTCTCCACACTGGCACCTCTGGGCAGGATGCCATAACTGTCCCTGAAGAGTGTGGTCTGGGTACACAGGGTACCATGGCCATCCATGGAGAGAAAAGTCTGTGATATCTGCACAAAATGCTATGGCCATCCCCTGGGAGTGAGGGCTGGGTGCACAGGGTACCATGGCCATCCCAAGGGAATAAGGTCTGGGTGCACGGGGTGTCATGGCCATCCCTGGGGAGTGAGGGCTGAGTGCAGAGGATGCCACGGCCTTCCCCCGGATGTGAGGTCTGTGAGCTCTGCACAGGGTGTCATGGCTGTCCCCAGGGAGCGTGGTCTGGGTGCACAGGGTGTCATAGCCATTCCCAGGAAGTGAGGTCTGTGTTCTCTGCACAGGGTGCCATGGCCATCCCCAGGGAGCAAGGTCTGCCCAGCCATAAGAAAGGGTTTTCTTCCTGTGGAGGTCACAGGGCCATTGCTGCCCAGTGGGACACTGAATGTCTGGGATGGGAGATTATACTCCAGGAAAAGCCATAGAAACAGCGAGGGGAGTCCAGGCTGGCTACAGTGTAGGTCTGGCCACAGGTGGGCTATAGAGGTTGGTGGGGGGTGGTCCAAGAATAGTCACAGGTAGGCTCCAGAGAGGAGGGGGTTGGGGGCAGATGTGGTCACAAGTGGGCTGTAGGGGTTGGGGGGGCCGCCTGGTCATAGGTGGGCTCCAGGGACTGGCAGGGCTGGGGTGGGATGGGGGGCAGATGTGGTCACAAGTGGGCTGCAGGGTGTAGAGGGGCAGGCTTGGTCACAGGTGGGTTCCAGGGGCTAGCAGGAAGGCAGATGTGGTCACAGGTGGGCCACAGGGGCAAGTTGGGAGCAGGTTTGATCACAGGTTGGATGGGTCTCGTCTTGGCGCCAGGCTGGGAGGCTTTACCCATGGGAATGAGGGCTACACAGCAGAGAGGTGTTGAGACTTATGCTTGAATCCCCTTCATTGCATTTGAAGAAAGGGCCTAAGCCAGTCCCACAGTTAGAATGAATGCTCTGTTGGCCACCTGAGGCCGTGCCCCTCTGCTCTGAGCACATCAATAAAAAGACAAGGCAGACAGAAGCAAAGTCTCTGGACTAGAAAAAGAGCAGAAACAGGGAGTGGGAAACACGCTGTGTGAGGAGAAGGGGCTGATTGGGGCGTCCTGTAGCCGTCTGAGCATCTGCTCCAAGAACCAGAGGCTGAGGAGAGCTGAGGGCTGTTCTGGCTGGAGGAGGCTGCAGAGGTTGCCAGGACAGGGCCAGGCAGACTGCTGGCCAGACCAGGCCTGTCATTCTCACAGGACGAGTGTACAACCAGAGCCTGTGATGCTGGGATAGCACCTGCTCCTGAACAGGATTGGGAGTGAGGGTAGTGTGGCCCCTGGGGGCAGAGCAGCCTTGGTTCACAGTGAGCTGGAGCTGAAGCAAGGCCTAAGGTGGCATGGGATGGGCAAGACATGCCCTTGAAGAGCTGGGCGCAGAGAGCTCTAACCCAAAGGTCCGTCAGGTTCCTGTGGAGGTAAAGGGAGAACCCATAAAACACAGAAGGGTGGGGAAAGGCACCATGGGTTCATCTGGAAACAGAAACCCTAGAAGTGAAACATACAGCTATTCAAGCGAGAACACAATGGTGAACTGTAAACTGGACACAAGCCAGAGGAGAAGTGTGGGCCGGAAGATGCAGAGGGGCTGAGTCAGCTGCACACAGGTGGCCAGCAGTTGTCCAAGGTGGGAGGCCTGGACGACTCCTACAGCAAAGTGAGCACATGGAGGCTAAAGAGGAAGAATGGAAGGATGCAGGCCAGGCCCTTTGTGATGTGCAGGAGGGAGTGATGGTCCTCTAGAGAGAATCCTGATGAGAGGTGATGTGTGCCTGATGGCCAACTCCTCTGAGCAGGAATGCCAGGAATCCACAGGAGAGTGAGTCTGGAGTGTGGGGCACAGTCCCTGTCAGCTGAGAATTCTGAATCCAGACGGCTGTGACGGAAGTGTGAGGATGGAGCCAGTCTCCTCCAGACACAAGCACAGAGACCACTGATGATCAGTGCGTGAACTAGAAGAAAGCTAATAAACCAACTCAAGAAACAGGACACCTAAGCCATTTCAGAAATGAAATAATTAAAATTTTCTTACCCAAGTCACCAGTTCAGATACTTTTATAAGTATATTCTACTACATAGGAAGTAATTCCACTTTTAGACAAATAAATCCAGGGAATATAAAAGGAAAGCTTCCTTCTCATTTTTTTAAAGAAAATTTATTTATTTATTTATATTTTAAAAATTTATTTGACAGGTAGAGTTATAGACAGAGAGAGAGAGAGAAAGGTCTTCTTCCGTTGGTTCACCCCCCAAATGGCTGCCACAGCCAGCACTGTGCCTATCCGAAGCCAGGGACCACGTGCCTCTTCCTGGTCTCCCATGTGAGTGCAGGGGCCCAAGCACTTGGGCCATCCTCCACTGCCCTCCTGGGCCACAGCAGAGAGCTGGACTGGAAGAGAAGCAACCGGAACTAGATCCTGGCACCCATTTGGGATGCTGGCACCACAAGGCAGAGGATTAACTAAGTGAGCCATGGTGCTGGCCCCGGAAAATTTATTTACTTACCTAACTTTACTTGAAAGGCAGAGAGAGACACATACAAACAGAATTACCATCTGCTGGTTCAGTCCCCAGATGCCTACAGCTGAGCTGAGGCTGGGTCAGGCCAAAGCCAGGAACCAATTCAGGTCTCCCACATGGGTGAATTTTAACAGAGTAGGGAAGAAAAAGCCCTCTGTGATCAGGAAAAGCAGTCACCTGCCAGAAGCAGCCTGTGATGAAGCTGGATGGGCAGATCCTGTTAGCTGCTGGCACTGGGTGCTGAGCGCCTGGAGTGGGACTATCAACCCTGCTTTGTTTATGTCTGAAATGTCATAGCAGATTTTTTCTAAAAAAAAAAAAAAAAAAAAAAAAGATAAAACAACATTCCTTTCAAATAAAGACTCTGAGATTATGCCAAAGAAGAAAAGAAAATGCCATTTTACAGATGAAACATTTGACACAGAAACCCAAGTGGGGTCATCACAGATGGTGGGATAGTTTGGTCACCACTTAGAAAAACATGGAACCGATTCCTTTCTTGTGTCAGATACTAAAATCAGTTCCAGATAGATCAAGGCCTCAGTGTGAAAAGCAAACCTGAAATTGTAGAATATATGCAAGTGTGTCATTGTTAACCCAAGGTGGGGAAGGCTTTAGAGGAGGCTTCGCACAGACCATAATGGAAGGGATGGAAGCACAAGCTGATGCTCAAGTCAACATTTCTGTGCATCAGAAGACGCCACAAAAAGGTGAAAAACCAGAGACCAGAAGAGGATATTTTCAGTGTCAACAAGTAACTAACAGGATTAGTTTTCAGAATCTATCAGAAATTCCATAAATCAAAAAGAAAAGGAACGGGCATTATAGTGTAGAGGGAAAAGCTGCCACCTGTGATGCTGGCATCTCATATGGGCGCCAGGGCTGCTCCGCTTCTGATCCAGCTCCCTGCCAGTGCACCTGGGAAAGCAGTGGAAGATGGCCCAGGTGTTTGGGCTCCTACACTCATGTGGGAGACCCAGATGGAGCTCCAGGCTCCTGGCTTCGGACTGGCCCAGCCCTGGGTGTTGTGGCCATCTAGAGAGTGGAACCAGCAGAGGGAAGATTGTGTGTGTGTGTGTGTGTGTGTGTGTGTCTGTAACCCTGAATTTCAAATAAATAAATCTTTAAAAAAGACAGAAAAACAACCAAGCAGGAAAGGGTGGAGGACATGAGGACTACAAGGAGAGATGAAAGGGACAGGAAGTGACCTCTGTCAGACTGGAGGCTGGAGACAGAGAGCTCCTGGCAGGGTGCAGGGGAGCCGAGTGGTACATGTGGAATGGAGCCTGACACACATGAGTAGAATGTTTGTGGTTCAGGCACGTGGAATGCTCACAATTATTTCATATCCCTGAAGTGTTAAATAATTACTCTTCTACAGTGCCCATATTTGGTCATTAAGAACTGATAGAACCTAACAAAACAAACAAAACCCTGATAAAGGCCACCTACCAAAATCCGCCAGGGTGGTGATGGCTAATGGGCGTGTGTTTCTTTTTGAATTGATGGAAACGTTGGCACATTACTTATGAATATTCTAAAAACTATTGTGTTATACACTTTCACTAGATGAGTGATGTGGTATGTGGATTACATCTCAGGAAAAGAGATGGCAACAGGCATCATAATAGTAAAAGATTGGAAGTATTATCAAAGGAAAAACTGGGATGTCTGGTGTTCAGACCTCTGAAGCCAACAGAAGAAGGAGGTGGAAAGATGAGAGGAATTGGGAAAAACAATGCTTACCTGGAAATTATGTGATTATTTAATAGAAAGCTCAAGTGAGCCTGGTGGAAGTAATGAGTTCACAGTGTTGCTGGACACATAGTGCACGCAAGCATTGTTTTTCTGAGTGATGTTGTTCAATTGGAAAATCCATTACAAAGCTCTTATCCACAGCAGTAACAAAGGCTACCTGTGCCCAGGAGCAAATCTGAGAGTGTGCAGCAGCTTGTTGGAGGATTACAAAATGTCTTTGAAGAGAGGCCTGGGTTGTGGTGCAGTGGGTGACGCTGCCGTCTGCAGTGCCGGCATCCCATATGGGTGCCGGTTCAGAAACCAGCTGCTCCTCTTCTGATCCAGCTCCCTGCTAATGCCCTGGGAAAGCAGTGGAAGATGGCCCAAGTGCTAGGGTCTCTGCACCCATGTGGAAGATCCACATGAAGCTCCCGGCTCCTTGCTTTGGCCTGGCCCAGCCCTGGTCCTTGGGGCCATTTGGGGGAGTGAACCAGCAAATGGATGTTCTCTCTCCTCTTTGTCTCTCTCCCACTCTTGCTGTAACTCTTTCAAATAAAAAAGAAACTTTTTAAAAAAATGTCATTGAAGAGGGCTGTCGTGGTGGTGCAGTGGGTTAAAGCCCTAGCCTGAAGCGCCAGCATCCCGTTTGGGCACCGGTTCTAGTCTTGGCTGCTCCTCTTCCAATCCAGCTCTCTGCTATGGCCTAGGATGGCAGTAGAAGATGACCCAAGTCCTTGGGTCCTGCACCCATGTAGGAGACCTGGAGGAAGCTCCTGGCTCCTAGCTTCAGATTGGCGTAGCTCCGGCCATTGCGGCCATCTGGGGAGTGAACCAGAGATGGAAGACCTCTCTCTCTCTGTCTCTACCTCTCTTTGTAACTGTGTCTTTCAAATAAATAAAGTAAATCTTTTAAAAAAAAAAGTCATTGAGGAACCTGAAGAGCTGAATAAGTGAAGAGATATATTTTTAAAATATATATTTATAAAATATAAAATGATGACAGTGCCTGTTCTCATCCAATTTCCAAAAGGGCTACTCCCAGAAGTTAGCATGTTAGCCTTGTGGAAGAGTAAGTAAACCAAGACAATGCAGGAAAGAAAGAGGTTTTCCCTACCGCATGTCACGACTTTAAATGCTACAGCAGAGGTGTAGGATACATAGAAACCAAATACCAGACATGGACTAGAGAGCCAGAATTGTGCCCAAGCACACACAGGAAGTTGGTTGGATGGAAAAGATGGCTTATGACTCAATGGAGGGAGGATGGGATGTTCAAACATGAGTCTTGGAAGATTGATTGTCCATATGGAAAATAAAATCATGATAGTTGCTTCTGTTGGATTAGAATTTTGAATGATTCAAGGGCAGTGTCTTTATAACTGTGGGATGGAGAGGAACTTCTTTTTTGAAATGTATTATTTTATTAGAGAAAGAGAGGCAGAGCTCCCGTCTTCTGGCTCACTCCCCAAATGCTTACAATATGCTGAAGCTGGGAGCCAGGAACTCTGTGTCCCCAACATGGGTTGCAGGGACCTAACTTTGAACCATTACCTGCTGCCTTGCAGGTGCACATTAGCAGGAAGCTGGGATTGGAGCCCAGACACTCTGATGTGAGATACAAGCATCCCAGCAACGCCTTGACTGTGAGATCAGATGCCTGACCTGGAGTTTCTCAAATAAGATGTAAAAAGCAGAGTTAAAGGAAAAAACTGATGTACTGGACTGCATTAAATTTCACCATGATACAAAATACAGGCTAAAAGCAAACAGGGCACTAAAGTAAGATATTTCCAATAGGTGTCACAGATAGGGGATTACTGCATGCAAGAATACATAATAAACCTCACAAGTTCAGTAAGAAAGTGATGTGTCATCAGGGATTTGGACCAAGGAGTTGAAAAGCAGGGCTCAGGGGAGACCTCATGGCCCTGGGGGAGATATCAGCCTTTCACTCTGATTGGACTGGGAATGATCAGGGGGTTGGTAGTGCCAGGAACAGGGTAGGGATGCGAGGAAAACTGTCCCATGCCTCTGGGAGGAATGTGACTTGGGACAGTCACTTTGGAACATCTAAGCAGTTAGATGTATGTAGCCTACCATCCAGCACATTCAGTTCTAGACAGAGTTCACACACATATGAGCAGACAAAAGGGCTTGTCAGGAGGCCAAGGGGTGAGGAGTGGAAGAGCAATGGTAGCCATCAGCTTGAGTGCGTGGACTTGTGTGCATCTGTGGATTTGTGTGTGTCTGTGCGGACTTGTGTGGATTCTGTGTGTGTGGATTGTGTGTTTCTATGTGGACTTGTGTGCATCTGTGTGAACTCGTGCATCTTTGTGGATTCATGTGTGTCTGTGTGGACTCGTGTGCGTCTGTGTGGATTCCTGTGCGTCTACGTGGACTCAGTGTGGATTCTTGTGCATCTGCATGGATTCATGTGGACTTGTGTGTGTCTATGTGGATTCATGTATGTCTGTGTGGACTCGTGTGAATCTGTGGATTCTTGTGCATCTGTGTGGACTTGGTTTGGATTCATGTATGTCTGTGTGGTTTCATGTGGCCTCGTGTGTGTGTGTGTGTGTGTGTGTGTGTGTGTGTATTTGTGTGGAATCTGTGGACTTGTGTGTCTGGATTGTGTGTTTCTGTGTGGACTTATGCGCATCTGTGTGGATTCTTGTGCATCTATGTAGACTCAGTGTGGATTTGTGTGCATCTATGTGGACTTGGTGTGGATTTGTGTGCATCTGCAGGCATTCATGTGGACTCGTGTGTGTCTGCATGGACTCATGTACACCTATGTGGATTCGTGTGTGTCTGTGTGGACTTGTGTGCCTCTGTGGATTGTGTGTTTCTGTGTGGACTCGTGCACCTATGTGGGTCTGTGTGCAGAGGTGTGAAGTCCTCCCTCCTGCAGGACTTTCACCCATGCCCCGTTCTGTTTGCCAGTGCCTGTGTGTGACTTGGATCTGAACCAGACCTGTGACCAGGGTTTTCCATGAGGAGGGTTCACAGGCTGTGGGGCCAGTGTGAAGGGGAGAAAGTGCCAGCAGTTCTCACTGTGGGTGATGGACACACGAGTTGTGGTGTTTTACCCTCTTGCAGTAATAAAGCAGGAAAGAGACAGAGTTGATGGGGCGAGAACTGTGTGTCTGTGGTGAGGCAGACATGCTGGGCCTGGGGCGCAGGAGCCTGGGTGTCAAAGGCCCTGCCTGTGACTGTGAGCAGCTCCTGTCCATGTTTGACTGGAAGTCGGAGTATGGTCGCCTCAGCCTCCTCAGCACTGCCCCCTTCTCTCTGTCTCTGGGGAACCCTGGGCTGCCTAGACCTGGGGCAAGACAATTGTCTGAAGGCCGCGTGTGTGTGCCTGGGTCAGCTGTGTCCTGGCTTGACCCTGACAAGGGTTGAGGCCACAACAGCCGGCCCTGGGCTGCTCTCTCTACAGATCCTGACCGGAGAGGACTGGAATGCGGTCATGTACCACGGGATCGAGTCGCAAGGTGGCGTCAGCAGAGGAATGTTCTCCTCCTTCTACTTCATTGTCCTCACTCTGTTTGGGAACTGTATCCTTCTGGGGCTCCCGCAGGAGGGCCTGGGGATGTGTTGGCCGTGAGTGGGAATGATGCCTTCTGCGCTGAGCCTGGGGGAGGGCATCCTACCAGCAGTCTGGAGCCGGCCATGGGTGCTCGCTTGCTTGAAGTAGGAGCTCACTTGGGGTGCCCAGAGGTGGGGGTGGATGCACACCCTCAGCTGTGCAGGAGGGACCCTGAGCGAGCGCTGTGGGGCAATGGCATGAACTCACAGTGGAAGTGACCCATGAAAGAGCTCCTCGAAGGAAAAGCACAGTGACCAAGGTCCTTGGTGGAGTGGGGGCTGGCCAGCAGGGTGAGGAGGAGGCCACTTGCACAGGCCTCGCCCATGCTGGGACCTGTGGTGGTCGCTCAGCCTCTGCGTCCTTGTTGCCCTGTCTCTGGAGAGGCTCCTGGGGCCAGTTCAAGGTTGGGGGTGCTCAGCTCGTGCAGTCTGCACCCTCGTGGCACCGATGGCTTTCTTGTTGAGCACCTCAAGGGAGTGGCGCCGAGGATGTCCTGTTGGAAAAAGAAGGCAGAAGGCAGTGAGCAAGACCTGGGCTCACAGGGGATCACCATGGGCTTGCATGTTTAGGTCTGTCCTCAGTATACTGCTCAGGACCCACAAGGCGGTGAGCCTCTGTCTCCCCCACAGCCTGTGGAAGCAGATTTGTCACCTGGCAGGAAGACCTGCAGAGGTTGGGGTGCAGGCAGGCAGACTGTGTCCTCTAAGCTTGGGTCTGGAAGGTCTAGAAGGGGTCTGTGGGCATTGCTGGAGGCTGCATAGAGGTTGGTGGTGAGCAGGGACTGGGGAGCTGGAGGGTGCTGGTGGCAGAGCTGGGGTGTACCTGGGAATGCCAGGGGCCCAAAGAGGGTCTGGAGCCGGCAGGATCTGCAGAGGTGAGGGCTCCTGATTCCCATGGGGGCAGTCGAGCTGTAACTGTGAGGGTCTGTTGGGCAGGGGCTTCTTTTCCTCAGCTAGAGCCATCCAGACACCCTGCTGAATGTCTTCCTGGCCATTGCTGTGGACAACCTTGCCAATGCTCAGGAGCTGACCAAGGTAGGCAGGATTGCCCCCTGCAGTCTATGCAGGAGGAGTTGGCCCAGTCTATGTCACCCTGGGTGAGGCTGCAGAGCCAGGAGGGGGTTGGGTGCTGGGTCATGGCCCCCATGACCACTGTCCAGGGAGCCTCCTCAAGGTTCTGGGCAGGGGAGTAGTCTACCATGTTGGGCAGTGGGGGTTGCAGCCGAGGAAGCCTGGAAGGCAGAAGGCAGGTGGGCAGGTTCCCGGGGAAGCCCCGGCAGCAGCAGGACAGGCGGGATGGGTGCAGCAGAAGGGCTGGCAGGAGGTGCAGCTGCGAGAGTGCCTGGCCTCTGCCTCAGCACAGGCCTATGATGTGGAGAGAGCCACATGGCATGGACCCCAGGGCTGTGAGGGACTGGCCTGCCTCATGCCTGGGGGAGCAGCTGGCAGCCTCATCTTGACACATGAGAGCCACAGCTGGACGGCTTCTCTGCAGGCAGGTCTCAGCAGGCATCGTTGAGTGCTCTCTCATCCCTGAACACAGTGGGGAATGTGCTCACATATCTCTCCCTCTGTGGTTTTCCTCCTAATGACACGGCCTCCTGCAAGCTCACGGTCACCCCCCACAGCCCTGGACACACTTGGCCAGGCCACCTGCTGTCTTAGCCTCAGCCTCCTGCGTGCAGGATGCTGAGTCTGGGCTGGCTATGCCCTGCTGCAGGCGCTGTGTGATGCTCCATGCTTCAGGCATGTGTTTGTGTGTGTGTGTGTGTGTGTGTGTGCCCCGTGATACCTCAGTGTGCGTCCCTCTGTGTTCTGTCACTGGACAGCATTGACACCTGCCTGCCCCTGTGATACCTGAGCTGACACAGCTCAGTCATGGCGGTCCCATGGGGCCTGCCCCTGAACATCTTCCCCATTGTGGGACTGAGGAGGGCAGTTCGGGAACCCTCTCTGCAGACGTGGAGGTACAGGTGCACTGGTAGGTGTGCATCTGACAGAGCGTGCCATTCGAGCATCCCTCTGCCTCTGCCCAGCTCTCCTGCTCCCACACCTCAGGCCTGGGCCGTGGCCATGCCTGTGGGTCTGACCCCTTCCTCAATTGGCTCCTGCCTTCTGAGGACTCAGGAGTGCCACAAGCCAGCCTGTTGCTGTTGTCCTCCCAGGCAGACACTGTGTCTTGTCTGGGAGTGGTTGGTGCCTTTGGCCCAGCTGCCTGGGATGGGGCACCTGTGCACCCACGGAGCTTACTTTACTGTCAGAATTTCCAGGATTGAGGAACTTGGGGTGGAGTGGACACTTGTTGTCCAGGGCCAGTGGTGAGTCTGAGGATGCTGAGGATACAGTGTCCCCCCCCCCCCGAGGATGCAGTGTGTCCCCTACTCCCCTGAGGATGCAGTATGCCCCTACACAATCCCCTGAGGACACAGTGTGCCCCTACACACTCCCCTAAGGACACAGTGTTCTCCCCCACTCTCCTGAGGACACAGTGTGCCCCCCACTCCCCTGAGGACACAGTGTGCCCCCTGACACTCCCCTGAGGACACAGTGTGCCCCCACTCCCCTGAGGACACAGTGTGCCCCCCACTCTCCTGAGGACACAGTGTGCCCCCTGACACTCCCCTGAGGACACAGTGTGCCCCCCCACTCCCCTGAGGATGCAGTGTGCCCCCCCACTCCCCTAGGGACACAGTGTGCCCCCCACTCCCCTGAGAAACAGAGTGGCCCCCCCCCCCTCAGGGAAAAAATGTTCTCCCCCAATCTCTTTTGGAAAAAATGTTCCGCCCACTCCCATAAGGACACAGTGTTTCCCCCACTCCCCTAAGGCCCCCACTCTCCTGAGGACGCAGTGTGCCCCCCACTCTCCTGAGGACACAGTGTGCCCCCCACTCTCCTGAGGACACAGTGTTCCCCCCCACTCCCCTGAGGACACAGTGTGCCCCCCACTCCCCTGAGGACACAGTGTTCCCCCTGACATTCCCCTGAGGATGCAGTGTGCCCCCCCACTCCCTGAGGACACAGTGTTCCCCCTGGCACTCCCCTGAGGATGCAGTGTGCCCCCCACTGCCCTGAGGACACAGTGTGCCCCCCACTCCTCTGAGAATGCAGCGTTCCCCCTGACACTCCCCTGAGGACACAGTATGCCCCCCACTCTCCTGAGGACAGTGTTCCCCCCACTCTCCTTAGAACAAAGGGTGTTCCCCACTCTCTTGAGGGGACAGGGGTTCGCCTCTACTCCCCTGAGGATGCAGTGTACTCCCACTCCCCTGAGGACACAGTGTTCCCCCGACACTCCCCTGAGGACGCAGTGTGCCCCCTGACACTCCCCTGAGGACGCAGTGTTCCCCCAAGGACACTGTCCCCCCGCCCCGGGGACACGGTGTGTCCTCCCCCCCACTCCCCTGAGGATGCCCTGTGTCCTCCCCACACTCCTAAGGTGCAGCCCTGGAGCCAGGAACTTGCCTGCTTCACGAAGGTCCATGTCTGGCTGTGGGGCTGTGCTGGCGAGAGCCCTAAAGGACAGGACATGGCTCCTGCTGCCTCTGTGTCCCCAGACAGGGCATCGTGTGTTCTCTCAAGTGGGATTTTTTTTTTTTTGACAGGCAGAGTGGACAGTGAGAGAGAGAGAGACAGAGAGAAAGGTCTTCCTTTGCCGTTGGTTCACTCTCCAATGGCCGCCGCGGCCAGCGCGCTGCGGCCGGCGCACCGCGCTGATCCGATGGCAGGAGCCAGGAGCCAGGTGCTTTTCCTGGTCTCCCATGGGGTGCAGGGCCCAAGCACCTGGGCCATCCTCCACTGCACTCCCTGGTCACAGCAGAGAGCTGGCCTGGAAGAGGGGCAACCGGGACAGAATCCGGCGCCCCAACCGGGACTAGAACCTGGTGTGCTGGCGCCGCTAGGCGGAGGATTAGCCTAGTGAGCCACGGCGCCGGCCCTCAAGTGGGATTTTTTTACAGATCATTCTGGTGACTTCAGGTCTGCGTGAGCTGCCCATCCAGAGTCCAGGAGCAGAGCATGTTACCATTGTTTTGTGACTTGGGGTCATGGCGAGAAGGTCTTTCTGGGAGTCCATTTCCTGCCCCAGGTGCATCTGCCCATCCTGTGGCATGTGGTCCATCTGTCGTAAGCCTGGTGACACCTGGCCACAGGTGGTGCCCCTCACCTCCATTCATGGCTCTGCAGGAAAGGCCACCTTCATCCAAGCATCACAAGTGCTCCTGGGAGGACAGGTGGGATGAAAGGAGGCACAGGTGTGTGTTTTCATGGGTCAAATGAGCAGAGAAGTCCAGGTGGCAGCTGGGTGCCTGCGTGCCAACACAGATCGTCAGCTTGTGAGCGTCCTGGGAGATGGTGCAAGCCAGAGGGTGCTGAGGGGGAACCCTGGGGATGGTCACCTCCAAGTCACAGACGTAGAGAAGGAGACCCTGAGGGTCGGGCCTGAGAGCTCGTGTGCTGAGTCGTGGGTGAGTGCTGACACGGGGGCTGGCTGCCTGGCCCCTCTGTGCAGAAGGCAGTAGGGACACAGGCCCAGGAGAAAGGGCTGATGGCACTGTAGTGGCCCAGCATGCAGGGGGACACTCTTCTTGTGTTGAAACAGGATGAAGAGGAGATGGAAGAAGCAGCCAATCAGAAACTCGCCTTGCAGAAGGCCAAGGAAGTGGCTGAAGTCAGCCCCATGTCTGCTGCGAACATCTCCATTGCCGCGTAAGCTCCTGGGGTGGTTGTGGGCAGCAGAGGCCCCTGGCAGAGGCCCGCCTTGGCCGCGGCTCATGAGGACACAGCCCATGCCCTGGAGCAGCTGCGAGGGACCTGGCACTGTGGCCCCTCGCAGTCTGAAAGGATGGTGTGGCTGGGGGCAGCCCTCATGTTGCTCGTGCCTGGACAGATGCAGGGCAGCTCCAGGCCACCCCCAGCTGTGCCTGGGCGACACCCAGGGAAAGGAGTCAGTGTGTTGATTTTGCACACAGCCTTTCAGAAATGTTTTGTAAACAGAGATTCTAGGGGGTCCCTCAGCTTCCATGTGGCCTCTGTTGGGTTTGGTGCTTGGACAGAGGGTAGGGGCTTCTGTGATGAGGAGGTGTGTGGGGCCCTGGCCTGCCTGCTGTTCCTGGGCCTCCAGCACACTGCGGGTGCACAGTCGAAGGGTTAGAGAGTTTAGAGGGCCCAGAGAACTCAGCCCATGGCCATGGCTGCAGTGGGCAGGGGGACATCAGCGCCCGGGGAAGGAGGGACAGAGACCAGCCCATGGCCTGCTCATGGGCTGGGCCACAAATCAGCAGAAGTGCCTACTGGGAACTTGCCCACTGGGCAGGCTGAGTCTGGCTCTGGAGCTGCTGGCTGTGTCTGGCTGCACGCCCACTCCCGCACTCCTGCGCTCATGCTGACCATCTGGCCCCTGGCTTTGTAGCTGGCCACTCTCCTTTCTGTGACCAGAGTGCCAGGCATGCCACAAGCACATCTGTGGTGACCTGTGTCTGCACTACGAGTAGATTTGTGGGCAGAAAGACAAGTGTGCTACATGGAAGTACCGTGTGTGTGTGTGGGGGGGGTGCATGTGTGAGCATGCAGCATGTCTGAGTGCCTGTGTGGACACATGTGAGCATGTGCAGTGTGCCTATCTGAGCATACAGAGTCGAGTTTGTGTGTGTGCATATTTATGCCTGCATGAGTGTGTGCAGTGTGCCTGTGTGAGTGTGCACATGTGTGCCTGTGTGAGTAGTATCCCTGAGTTTGTGTGTGTGCCTTTGTGAGTGTGTGCAGTGTGAGTGTGCAAGTGGGCACCTGTGTGAGCATGTGTAGGTGTATGTCACCAGGGGAATCTTGTCTCCATGTTAAGAAGAAAGTGCTGGCTTTTGAGGGAGAAGCAGCCAGAAGAGGGTGCAGCTCCCTGCAGAGAGCCTGGCTGGGTGTGGGCGCAGAGTTGGCTCGGCTGCTGTGGTCATTTCACTGTGCTCAGTTCAACTATGTGGCTGGTTACTTGGTGGGTGTAGTTTGGTCACCTGGCTCACCCTCACCCTTCCTTGTGGGCCTGCAGGTCGGTAGAGATCTATAGTAGAGCCCGTGGGGAAGTCATTTTGCTTGTTCAGCCCCGGCCTTGTGTGGCCTCCTGGAGTGCCTGTGTGGAACTTCAGCCCCAGCTGCCTGCCACGGCTGCCTGTTCCTCGGGAGTGGGGGTGAGGTCCACTCCCATCTGGGCCTGAGACCTTGGAGAGGAGGGTGCCAAGGCCCTGGGAAGTGTGTCAGGTCCACAGGATCTAGACTTTTCTCTGCCACCACTCCTGTCCGCTTGGATGTTGCAGGATTGCTTTCAGGACGTGAGGTGCCAAGCTGGCTCTTCTCCCACGGGCTGCACGTGACACCCGCTGTGGGCCTGAGCCCCACAGAGTTGCCAAGTGGGAAAGGTGCTTCTTTTCTCCTGGGGGCCCAAAGGTGCCGTGCTGCCCAGTGGGTCTCAGGCTGGGAGGTAGCTCTGGGCCCCATGTCACAGCCTCACATCCAGGAAGGGGGAGCAGACGCAGGCCCGTGGTGGGTCCTACTCTGCCTGAGAGGCAGCTCTGGGCCCCTATCCTCAGCATACCTGTCAAACGAGGTGTCAGTCTGACTTGACCACAGATCCCGCAGGTACCAGCCTCTGGGGAGTGGTTTGGCCTCGGTGTGTGTGAGTGGTGGATGTAAAGGCCGTCTGCCTGTGTCCCTATGCTTGTGTCCTGCAGCTGAGTCACGTGGTGTGGAGTGGGCGCACCACTGCAACCTTCTGCATCTGAGAGGCCCTCAGGGGTGCTTGTCTCACTGACATGGTGGGGGTGGGACCCCACACAGGGGTGACCCAAGGCTCCAGGGAGACCCTCTGAGACTGGGGCTGCCTTTAGCCCCTGGGAGGGAAGGGACCCAAGCCCGAGCCATCTTCCTGGTTCTCTTTGCAGTATCACCCCCATCCCCAGCTAGACTTCTGAACACTGGCACTCACGCTCTTGCCACACATGCACACGCATGCACTTGTACTCTCACATTTACATACTCCCTGACACATGTCACACACCCATGCACACACTGTCACCACATACACACATGCACATGTCCTGTCATGTTCACACACTGACACATGTGCTCATACATATGCTCTCACCATACATGCACACAATGCATTCATGCTGTCATGTTCACACAGTCCCTGACACTCACATGTGCTCACACACATGCACATGCTCTCACCACACATGCATGCATGCACTCATGCTTTCACGTTCACATACACCCTGACACTCACATGTGCTCACACACACACTCTCACCACATATGCACATGTATGCACTTGAGCTTTCACATTCACAGATGTGTGCTCCATCTCTTACATGTGCTCACATGTGTCCACACACATGTGCTCTCACACCCTCACCACACATGCACATGCATGCACTCATGCTCCCACATTCACACATGTGGTCAGTCTCACATGTGCTCACATGTGTTCACACATATGCTGTCACTGCACACACACACCTATGCCCTGGTGCTCCCACATTCACACATGTGCTCAATCTATCACATGTGCTCACATATATTCACACACAGTCACCACACATGCACTCATGCTCCTGCATTCACACACATGCTCAGTCTATCACATGTGCCCACATGTGTTCACGCAGTCACCACACATGCACTCATGTTCCCACATTCACACACATGTGTTCAGTCTCTTGCATGTGCCCACATGTGTTCACACACATGCTGTCACTGCACACACACACCCATACCCTGGTGCTCTCACATTCACACACATGTTCAGTCTTTCACATGTGTTTACACACATGCTCTTACATGCACATGCATGCTCTCATGTTCACATGCTCCCTCTCATTTGTGCTCACATGCACATCACATGCTGTCACACTCTGCATCTCACATGCAGGCAGTCCCACAAGTGTGCTTGTACATTCACACTCACACTATCACATTCACTCAGTCTCACACACAATTTGCGTTCAGAATACCATGCACTGTCACACATTCACACATGTGCTCACACTCTAATGTTCATACACTTGCTCACATGTGCTCATACTGGTATTCACACTGTCACACTATCACATTCACTCCCCCTCAGTCTCACACACAATTTACATTCACAGTATCACGCATACACACATTCACACATGTGTGCCCATAGCCACTGACAGTCTCACACATTCACACGTGTGCTCATACAGTCTCACAGACACGTGTGCTCACACTGTCACACACATTCACACACGTGTGCTCATAGCTACTGACAGTCTCACACTCACTTTCACAAAACACATCCTGTCTGCACCCAGGGCCTGAGGGCAGGTGAGCTGCTGAGTGCACAGGAAGTTGCAATGACCTTGCCCTTGACAAGGATACACTGGAAACTCAACTGGCCCTGCCAGGAAGGTTACTGGAAAGGGAAACAGCCATAAAGAGATCCTTGGGTTCTTTTCTGCTGTGTTTGGAAGAGCTTCTAGGGTATCATTTGGAATGCAGTTGCACCCATAGGGAAGGTCAGCTGGTGCTGGAGCTGGACTGGCCACTGTGGGGATCCTGGCTGACTAGAAACTCTTGGGTTACAGTGGGAAGGCAGGCATGGAGGGCACCGGGGTCCAGCACTGTCACGAGTATGGCTCCCAACCCCCTGCTAGCCTGCGGTGCTCCACTGCAAGGCCAGCAGACAACACGATCAGCCTGCCCGGGCTCTGGGGTTATAGGAAATGGGTGCAGAGTCTTTCTAACCCTGCTGTTCTCTAGGGCACTGTGCACTGAGCAATGGCTACAGTCTCCAAGATAACAGCTTCTCGTCTTGAAGCCATTATGGGGTTTCTGTGTTCACCTTGGTTTCACTTTTCTGCACATGTGGGATTGGTCAATTTCTCTTTTGCCTCGAGGTCTCTGAAGGTGCACACCGCAGCCTGTGCCTGCATGGAGTGTCTCTCGGGACTTTCTTTCTGGTCTTCTCACTTCTGTTTTGTTTTGTTTTTTGCATGTGCAGTTTTGTAAAGCAAACTCGAGGTACTGTATCTCGCAGCTCATCTGTCTCCAGCGTAAATTCACCGTGAGTCGCTCTGCTACGATAATCCATCCGTGGCTCCATGACTGCTACATGCACACACCTCCCCCTACCTCCGACTCTGCTTTCCCACCTCGAGCATTCGCTTCCTGGGGCAGCTTGGGCAAGCCTTGTGCCCGGGCAGGGAGTGGTGGGCAGGCTCCCCGACAGGCCCATGTCCTGCCCACTGGCTCAGCCCTCCCTGAGCCCAGCCCCTCCTGTAACTCCTCTTGTCTGCTGTCTGTCCGTGCACAATCACTTCGGTGTCTCGAGTGTGTCATGGGCTCCTGTGAGCAAAGGTGGCACAGAGTGTTCTGTGGCGGCTCCTTGGCGACGCTCTTGGTCCTCCTAGCCACCCTGACATCTGTGGCTCTCAGCAAGTCCTTGTTCTATCAGGGCAGAGCCGCTGTTTGACTGGACAGAGCCCACAGAGGAGCCACAGACACCCTAGGCTGGCTCTCCTGGAGGTGAGACGAGCCTGACCGACTGGCCTCCCCTGGGGCAGCGCTTCCTGGGCAGTGCTCCTGGGTGGTCTGGGTGCTCTTGAAGGTGAGGTCACGCTCTGCCAGTGAGCGAGTCCTTGAAGTGGTTGGGCACAGTTGGGTCAGCTGGATGGAGGTGGTGACGCAGGTGCCCCTGCATCCTGAGGGCGGTGAGCTCCTGTTTGCCCCGCTCCTGTGCTCCCTTCTTGCTGGGCCCAGTCTTTCCGTAGGTGCTACAGGGGCCCTGACAGCTGGCCGCACATTGAATGACCCACCTGGGGGTGTCACCCCAGGCTACCTCATGTATCAGCACGAGCAGCAGAGACCCTCGTGGCTCCTTGATGTGTCCTACAGCCACGCAGAGTGCACAGCCTGGGTGTGGTTGCTCTGTCCTGTAGGCCAGGGTCAGGATGTCATGGTGGTGGCTCCACCATGGGACTCCTTCAAAAGCCCTGTAATTAAGGGCTTTGTCTGGGTGACGGTCCCTAGCCACACTGCATGGGGAGTGGAGAGTGGTGGGGCTCTCTCATTCTCAGTGGGACTAACCCCCCCATACAGTGTCCAGAACAGGTGCAGGCTGACACCAGCAAGGAAGAGAGGCCTGGCAGGCAGACTCAGAGGCTGGGGGATGCATCCAGGCAGGAGTGCAGCTGGGCTGCTGGCATCTGGTTATGTTAGGGCTCAGAGTGACAGGCCCAGAAGGAGCAGGCGGAGGCACTGCAGAGGGGCTGATGTGGAAGTGGGCAGTGGCCCCTTTGCAGGCCACTCAGGGTTGTGCTTCTCCTGGGCACTCGTGACGGCCTCCCAGCCCCAGGCCCTCAGTCCAGCAGGCAGCTGGACCCTTCCTGCACCTGAGAGTCCACTCCTGCCTGTGTGGACAGACGCCGAGCCAGCCAGCAGCCGCTGTGTGTGTCCCTCCCCTTCACCACCTGTCTTCCGAAAGAACTGCAATGTTCTCCCCACAGTCTGTGGCTTCATCTGAGTGGGCTGCTGCCCTGCTGACCAGGTGGCTCAGTCCAGGCCCATCTTGGGCTGTGATGCAGAAGCCGGTGGTGGTGAGTGACTGTCAGCTCTCACAGAGCTCCTGCCTTGGTGAATTCCTACATGGCGGTCTTCCATTCTCATCACACAGCACCGAGCGTCGGACCCTCGCCTCTGGTGCTGGCACGGGGTGGCTGTGAATCTGTGGCAGCTCAGCTTCAACACATCAGGGGAGACAGGTCGGGGTCTGCAGGCCACTCTGCCCTCACTTGCCTGAGCCCCTAGCTGAAGGGACCAACACTGTGCTCTTCTGCTACCACACTTGTGAAGCACTGCCTGGAGCTGGCTCCCACACTGCAGCCCAGACTTCCCCTGCAGCGGGATGGGGTTTGATGTCTGTTGTCCTGGCCCAGCTAGTACGGGGCTGGGTCTCCCCTCGCCCGGTGGCCTCTGTCTCTTCCAGTTTCTGGCCTGGGCATCTGCAGGCCGCAGCTGCACTTTGTGCTTTTGGCGCAGCTGGGGTCTTGCTGAAGCCAAGGTCTTCTCTGGAGACCTCTCTCCTTTAGCCCTTGTACCCATCTGGTCCTGGCTCCATCAGCGCTCACAGGCCCTGGGCAGGCCACGTCCTGTCTCGAGGTTCATCTATGACTTGGGGACAGGAGTAGCACCTGATTCTTAGGGAGGCTGTAAGGGCTGGATGAGGTGGGCGCTGAGCCAGGAGCACTGTGCAGTGATCATGATGCCTGTACCACCATTGCCAGTGGTGCTGCTGCCACTGCCAAGACTGCTCAGGAGGCTCAGAGGCTGAGGAACGGAGGCTCTGGCCTCAGATAAGGCTTCTGCTTGGTGGAAGTGGGGCTGGCGCTGTCTACTGTAGTGTTCCCGTTCAGCAGAGAGCCCGGCATGCACCCTGGCTGTGGGGCCCTACACATGGTGCTGGAAATCGAGGCTCCGAGGTCAGGCCGGGCCTTCGGTGGCCTGGGCAACACCAGCCCAGCCTAGACCACCAGCTACCCCTGTGCTAGGGGTCCTGAAGGCCAGGTTCCAGCTCTGCCCCAGGAGGAAGGAGGGGCTATCCCTGGAGCCAAAGGAGAGGACATTAGGACCATGGGAGGGGGTTTCCCAGACCTGACTTCTGGGCTCCTGGTCATGGAGCTGAGTGGCGGCTGTCCAGCTGGGACTGAGTCTCTGGGGAAGCAGCTGAGGCTCTGTGTTTGCTCCTAGGAGGGTGAGATGGTCTCTTGGGCACTACTGTCTGCTCCAGGTCAGCATCTGCCTCTTCTGGGGCTCGCTCGTAAACAGCCCTTTCTCCTTATTACTGGTGGCTTTGCTCCTGGGAGAGGCAGTGGGGATGTGGCCCCTCCTGGGGCTGCTCTACTCTCACTCTGGATGGGGGCCCCCTGACCCCTTGGGGGCCATCAGCCCTGCCCGTTTGGATGATGTTCCTCGCCTCTCCCCTTGTTGGCCTCCCTGGGTGCAACTCACCTGCCCTGGAAGCCCATCTGTCCACTCTTGCTGGAACCCAGCTTCCCACTGCCCCATACCCTTTGGCCTTGGGCTCCTGGCCACCTGCTGGAGAAAGGCCTCAGTCTTGGGAGGGTCCTCCAGACAGGTCTCACGGCCTGCTGAGTCCCAAGGCTGCCATGGGGCCATTGATGAGTTCTGTTCTCTCGGATCTCCCGCATGGACTCCGGAGGTGTCCCGAGGGCTCTGACTGCCACTGTCTCCTTGCCTTCCTCCTGCCCCCTCGCCATCCGTCCATTGCCGTGTGTCCATCCACGGGGGCCCCGGGAGCCAGAGTGGGCGGTGCAAGGTACTCATGCCAGTCTCCCCGCAGCAGGCAGCAGAACTCGGCCAAAGCGCGCTCGGTGTGGGAGCAGCGAGCCAGCCAGCTGCGGCTGCAGAACCTGAGGGCCAGCTGCGAGGCGCTGTACAGCGAGATGGACCCCGAGGAGAGGCTGCGCTACGCCACCGCGCGCCACCTGCGGCCCGACGTGAAGACGCACCTGGACCGGCCGCTGGTGGTTGAGCCCGGCCGCGACGCTCCGCGGGGCCCCCCGGGGGGGAAGGCCCGGCCGGATGGCTCGGAGGCCCCCGAGGGTGCGGACCCCCCGCGCAGGCATCACCGGCACCGAGACAAGGACAAGGCTCCCGCCACGGTCCCCTCGGCGGGGGAACAGGACAGAGCCGAAGCTCTGAGGGCAGAGGGCGGGGAGCTGGGGCCCCGCGAGGAGCGGGGGCGGCCACGCCGCAGCCGCAGCAAGGAGGCCCCGGGCGCCCCGGAGGTGCGCAGCGATCGCGGCCGTGGCCCGTGTCCTGAAGGTGGTCGGCGCCACCACCGGCGCGGGTCACCGGAGGAGGCAGCTGAGAGGGAGCCCCGCCGCCACCGCGCGCACCGGCACGGGCCCGACCCGGGCAAGGAGGGCCCAGCGTCCGGGACCAGGGGCGAGCGGCGCGCACGACACCGCACGGGCCCCCGGGCGTGCCCCCGGGAGGCTGAGAGCAGCGAGGAGCCTGCGCGGCGGCACCGGGCTCGGCACAAGGCGCCGCCCACCCAGGAGACCGCGGAGAAGGACAAGGAGGCTGCCGAGAAGGGGGGCGAGGCCACGGAGGCCGAGAAGGACAAGGAGGCTCGGAACCACCAGCCCAAGTGAGGGGGCTCGGGGCGAGGTCAGGCGGGGCTAGGCGAGCCTGCATCGGGTTGCAGAGAGGGGCCTCAGTGGGCAGTGGTTACTGCTGATGGGGAAGAACACAGTGGCCCTGGGGTAAGAACGAGAGGGGGAGGCCACTCTGCACTGGTCTGCAGTAGGGCTTGAGGCCTGCCTGCCTGCCAGCCAGAAGCCAGCTGTAGCACATGCAGTGGAGGCCACCCTCAGGATCAGCCTGCCCAGCGCCATCTGTGTGTGCAGAGGCAGGGGTGGCTCCTTCGTTCTGCCCCACCACACAGTCTTGTGTGTGCAGTAATACAAACCACAAGAGGGGCTGGAGCAGGAGGAGGTGGGCAGAGGTGTGAGGAGCTGGGGCTGCAGACTGGACGGCAGCCTGGGTGGTCAGTCTGTGAAGTGCTTTCTCGGTTGCAGGGAGCTGCCCTGTGACCTGGAGGCCATCGGCATGCTGGGAGTGGGCGCTGTGCATACGCTGCCCAGCACCTGTCTGCAGAAGGTGGAGGAGCAGCCAGAGGATGCGGACAACCAGCGGAACGTCACCCGCATGGGTAGTCAGCCCCCGGACACCAGCACCACCGTGCACATTCCTGTGACGCTGACCGGCCCCCCCGGGGAGACCACGGTAGTGCCCAGTGAGTATCCTCCTGTGCCTGGACAGGGCCCTCCTCCACCCCTCCCCCCTGCTGCGTGGGGACCCAGCTCACTTCTGTGACTTGTTTTTTGCTTCGACGTCTGTCCCTGGATGTCCCTCTGCTTTTTAGTACCTCAGAGGCAGCCAGAGGTCAAGCTCCAGCCTCTTCCCATGCAAAAATAGTTGTGAGTGGCCCAGGAAGTGCTGGGCACTGCGTGACACAGCGCAGGAAGCCAGCCCTGCCAGGGAACAGGCGGCAAAACAACAGCCACAGCTCTGCATGCTTGTGTGCTGCTGGGGACGCTGGCCACAGCCTGGATGGGGCCAAGGGTGCGTGGGGGAGGAGGCGGAGGAGGCTCTCAGTGGTCATCTTCCCATCTGCCGGTGCCAGTGTGTCACCACCACACCCCTGCCGGCCCCCAGGCCTTGGGCTCAGCTGCCTGCTTTCTTCCCCTCACCTCCTGTGTTCCTGCGAGGCCAGCTGACTACAGGTGGGCTCCAGTCCAGCAGGGAGCACCTGCAGGTGTCAGGCACAAGCCCTCATGGTGGGGATCCTGCCTTGAATACAGAGAAAGCATCCCTGGGGAGCAGGGAGACGGCAGAAACAGGGATTGACAAGCATTTAAGGCAGAGTGGCCAGGTGAGCTCAGTCAGGTGCCGCCACAGGCAGGCACCTGTTCTGTCTTGCTGAGATGCTCTCACCCAGGGCCTGTACACCTGTGTCTGGTCCCAGGCATAACAGTGAAGATGAGTGGGCTCTAGCTACTCAGCCTCCCCCTGTCCCCCTTGGAAGAAGGCTGTTCCAGTCCATTCTTTGACTTCTGTGGGCACAAGTGAGTCTTTACCTTGCTGTCATCTTGTCTGATGCACTCTGGATTAGCTTCTGGCTGCACCTACGACCCACACCTGGTTTCTGTCCACCGGGTCCAGATGTGGCCCTCCTGCCCCTCTCCTGCCATGAGCTTGTTGGTGACCAGGGGTCTTTGTACTATGTAGTTGCAGTGTTTCTGACTGGCTTTGTGCACTTAAGCTTCCCCCATGTCTTTGTGGCTTGTTAGCTCATTTCTTTGGCAGTCTCCATAGTCTGTTTCTCCATTCTCCTGTGGGAGGGCATTGTGGTTACTGTTGGTGTTGGGCAATTTTGAATAGGCTGCTATAAATACTCATGTTTAGGTTTTTGTGTAAATGTAGCTTTCAACTCACTTGGGTAAACACCGAACCCATGCCGGCTGTGTTGTGTGAGGCTGTGCTCACTGTTGTGAGGAGCCATTGATGGCTTTGTTGTGTGAGGCTGTGCTCACTGTTGTGAGAAGCCAGTGACGGCTGTGTGAGGCTGTGCTCACTGTTGTGAGGAACCAGTGACGGCTGTGTGAGGCTGTGCTCACTGCTGTGAGAAGCCCCTGACTGCTGTGTGAGGCTGTGCTCACTGTTGTGAGGAACCAGTGACGGCTGTGTGAGGCTGTGCTCACTGCTGTGAGAAGCCCCTGACTGCTGTGTGAGGCTGTGCTCACTGTTGTGAGGAACCAGTGACGGCTGTGTGAGGTTGTGCTCACTGCTGTGAGAAGCCCCTGACTGCTGTGTGAGAAGCCCCTGACTGTTTCGTAAGGCTGTGCTCACTGCTGTGAAGCCGCCAGACTGTTCCAGAGTGACTGTCCCACTTTGTGTGTCCTCTGACAGTGAATGGCTGCTGTCAGTGTTTTGGGTGTTAGCCATTCTAATTAAGTGTGTAGTGATATCACAAGGTTTTAATTTGCAACTGTTTGAGCCTGAGGGATCTTCAAAGAGTTCAGAGAAAATGCTTATTATGAGAAAACCATGACTGCATTTCAAAATGTTTTGTGCTCATTGTTTAATCCGGTCTTCGATGATCTCCCTGGAGTGCTCTCCTAAGACATTGAGCATCTTCTTGACACTTAACTGCCACGTAGGTGTCTCCCATGCTGCGGTTCCTGTTTGGGTCTTTTGCCTGTTTGTCTTCTGCCTGCTGTGTTGTGGGAGTTCTGTGTATATGCTGTGTACCAGTCTTCTGTCACATATCTCCTCCCATTCTCTTCCTGCAATTGTGACCCTGATGCTAACCCTCATCTGCCCATTTTCACTGCTTCTAAAAACAGACACCCTGCTGTGGACTCTGGTGTGTTCCTTGTGTATCTTGCTACTTTTCTGAATTATCACGTTGTGTCTTAGTTTTAGCATTGATTCTCTTTGTGTTCTCCACTTATATTATCAAAACTTGCACAAACATATTTCTCTTTTTTCCAAGTCTCAGAGCTCTCACTGTGGGTTTTTGTTTGGTTTCGCTGTATGATATACCACCAGTAACAAAGGTGGCAGTGGGAGCCTCTGGATCTGGGCTTGAGGGATGTGTGCCTGTGTGTGTGTGTGAGAAATCACATTTTGGTTCCTATTAGTTCCCATTTCAGTCAGCACTTTTATTAGGAGAAGCTTAATTTTGCTGGAGGTTTTCTCGGTATCCATATGGATCATGTTTTTTTCTCCTTACATATGGGGATGTATTGTGACCAGCTTCCTGCTGTGAAGCTGTCTCTTCCCTGTTAAAGTAGAGCTCTCCTGGATTTATTTTTTAATGTGCTGTTGGATTCTGTGTAATACTTGATGTGTGATTTTTGGATTTGTACTTTGAAGTGAGATGTGTTCTGTAGCTTTCTTAACTGTGTCCAAGCATCATGAGACTTCACTGCTCCATCCCTGAAATCGAATGTCGTACTTGGTAGCCGCATTTCCCATCATTTTAAATGAAAAAAAAAAAAAACTGTAATGCATTATATGTCAGTGCAAAGCCACCAGCCAGCTTCCTGAAGTACAGCTAAGGCACCATTAGAGGCTGAGAAGCAGCAGGCTCTGGCGTTGGGATGTAAAGTGTTGCTGTCTGATTGCCCAGTGAAAGCAGCATGCACAGGCAACTGCTCCCTGTCCTCCTGTGCGGAACCTTGGTGCCTCGCGCTTTGAGAAGCATCTACCAATGGTGCAGAATCTTACCCGAGAGCTGTCACCCACATTACTTTGTTTGAAACGTGACTAGGAGTTCTGGGGATGCATACATTTTTTCCTAAATAATACCAGCCAAAATATCCAACAGCATTGGTGGGGTGGGAGGAGAGGGGGAAGTTTTCCTGGAGAGTGGACATCATGAAGCTGAGAGGCACTGATGGGGAAATGTAAGTGACGAGCAGTTCTGTGGTTGTGGATCCACCACTGTTGGAAAGAACTGGAAAGTTCTCTTGCTGTCTTCTGCGGTGGCTCAGGAATCTCGGGGATGCCTTGCTTCAGCAGTGTCATGATTCTCTCTAAGAGTTGCCTATGTCCTGTGTTCCTTTGTAGACCACTTCCTTGGCAACATCTCTGCCTCTCTATTTACTTGGCTCTCTCAACGATTTTGTCTCTGGAGATGAGCTTGGTAAATTACATTTTCCTTAGAAATTATCTGTTTCATCTAGATCTTTCCATTTACTTATACAGACACAAAGGAGTGCTTAAGTTTATCTTTTTAAAAATTTCCCTCTTGTATATTTGTTTCTCTCATAACTTTTTTTTTTTTTTGACAGGCAGAGTGGACAGTGAGAGAGAGAGAGACACAGAGAGAAAGGTCTTCCTTTGCCATTGGTTCACCCTCCAATGGCTGCCACGGCCGGCGTGCTGCGGCCAGTGCATCGCACTGATCCGATGGCAGGAGCCAGGTGCTTCTCCTGGTCTCCCATGCGGGTGCAGGGCCCAAGCACTTGGGCCATCCTCCACTGCACTCCCCGGCCATAGCAGAGAGCTGGACTGGAAGAGGGGCAACCGGGACAGAATCCGGCGTCCTGACCGGGACTAGAACCCGGTGTGCTGACTCCACAAGGCGGAGGATTAGCCTAGTGAGCCACGGCGCCGGCCTCTCTCATAACTTTTTTAAAAAGATTTATTTATTTATTTGAAAGTCAAAGAGTTACAGAGAAGCAGAGGCAGAGAGAGAGAGAGAGAGAGAGAGAGAGAGAGAGAGAAAGAGGTCGAGAGGTCTTCCATTGCTGGTTCACTCCCCAAATGGCTGCAACAGCCAGAGCTGTGCAGATCCGAAGCTAAGAGCCAGGAGCTTCTTCCGGGTCTCCCATGCGGGTGCAGGGGTCCAAGGACTTGGGCCATCTTCTACTGCTTTCCCAGGCCATAGCAGAGAGCTGAATTGGAAGAGGAACAGCAGGGACTCGAACTGGCGCCCATATGGGATACCGGCACTGCAGGTGGCAGCTTTACCCACTGTACCACAGTGCCGGCCCCTCATAATTTTTTTATCTTGTATATTTTTGTGTTTTTCTTTTTCTTTGTGATTAGTGGGTTTTTGTTTTTTCTTTTCATGAAAAGAAAGCTGGCATTTTAATATGCTTATTACTTCCGTAGGTTTTTTTTTTTAAGATTTATTTATTTATTTATTTGAGAGGCAGAGTTAGAGACAGAGATTGGGAGAGACAGAGAGAGAGAGAGAGAGATCTTCCATCTGCTGGTTCACACCCCAAATGGCTGCGACTGCCAGAGCTGGGCTGATTAAAGCCAGGAGCCAGGAGCTTCTTCTGAGTCTCCCACGTGGTCTTGGGCCCAAGCATTTCGGCCATCTACCATTGCTTTCCAAGGCCATCAGCAGGGAGCTGGATCAGAAGTGGAGCAGTCGGGATTCGGGATTCAAACTGCCACCCATATGGGATGCAGGCGCCACAGATGGAGGCTTGACATACTTCGCTATGGTGCCGGTCCCTGTACTTTTGTTTTTAAAACTATTACTTTGTAATTTTATCTTTATTTTTTCCTCATAATTTTCCTTTGTTTTACTTTGTTGTTGCTATTCTGGCTTCTTTCGTTGGCCGTTTTATTCTTTGATTTTTACTGTATGCTCTGTAAGGCTATAAATCCCTCAGATTACTAATTTAATCATAGCCTATAGATTCTTCCACTTGGTGTGGTGATTTTTATGAATTTTAAAAGCAATTGTGGGGGCCGGTGCTGTAGTGTAGC